TCTTTTTCTTTTCTTGGTTGGGTTGGGGGTGGAGGAGAATTGTCTGATGAAGAGACACCCTCTGCCTTGACGGAGCTCCTCCCTCACCACACGGCAAACGGATCCTCAACCGCGGGTGCATGGTTGGGTTGGATCAGAGAAGACTCGAGGGGTCCTTCGAAGCTGAGTCTTCTGCGGGGAAGACAACGCCTGCCCGCCCTCACGCGCCCTCCCCATGCAGATGCAAGCTTGTAAGACAAGCATGCAATAATCTGATCAGCCTTGTGTTGGCCGCTGCAACTACTGCGCTGCGTTGCCGCGGCTCTCACCCTCATCCAAGCATCCTCTCGTCCAGATCATGACTGCCGCCTGAAACGACCTGATGGGGTGTGCCGGTGCCGCGCTGCGGAGGTACACTACCAACCGATCCTGTTTGCCCCAGTCTTTGACGACAAACATAGAAGTTTTACGGCGATGACCGCCCGGCGCCTCTTTCCAAAACGAGACGAGACGGCGCTTTGCCGTCGTGACCTGATCCCAGCATGAGCAATGGCCGACTTTGCTCGTGCAGTGCCGGGCCAGATGCCGCAGCCATCTAGCTTCAAGCTGGTCCAAGTCCATGAGCCATTGAGGAAAATGGGATGAGACAGGCAAAGGGGGATAAACCTGGGGCAAGCATCCCAACGTCTTTGGGTCAAGAGACGGGAGGGATCTCGTTGACTCGAGTCGGGAGATTTGACCCAGCCCTTTGGGCGCGGTGGCGATCATCGGCCATGGTCCAGGTGGTGTTTCGGTCAAGTTTGGTCATGAAATCCGGGGTTCGGTTCGTTCGGACTGGCAAACCTGCTGTGCGCGTGGGCATTGCGTACGGTATGAGCTCATCTGTCCTGCCCGTAGAGTCGGGCCGGATGCGTATTGGATCTGCGGATGTGAGAATCTGGTCGGCAGACAGGGAGGATTGTCATTCTCCTTTTTCTTTCCCTGCTGTACCGACCGACCGCTCGCTCTGCCTGCTGGTAACCCGGGTTGGACATTCTCCAAGGGGGGTCATTGGGAGAGAGCATGGGGGCCATTGTTGGGGATGTCGGTGTTTGGGGAATGATTGGAGCTCGTTACACCAATTGATGTTGCGTGGTCGGCGAGAGCGGGCACCAGGGCTGCTACTGAGTGTGACGGCTGACAGACACAGGAATTGCAAAAAGGCGGGAATTGGGTGGTCGACAAGGAAAAGCAACCTCCACTGCATGGATTCTTTTCCGGGGGAGTCACTCAGCCTCCCATCCAATCCGATGCCGCAGGTCGCTTTGCTACGTTTGCCCCTACCGTCTCTGTGAGGACTCGGTCTCTGGATGGACGACGTCTACATGCAGCATGATGCGCGCCTCGAGGCTGAGGTGTTGTCCGCCTAAAGCCGCCTCGCAATTGTTTGATGATTGTGTCTTGACGGTGACATCAAACTGCCGCCAAGCACGGGAGCAAAAGTATGACCTCGTGACCTAGCACGCGCACACAATACGAAATAGTGGAACGACGAGATGAGGCAGGTTTCGAGGCTCTGCTGGCATTTTCTAGTTGCACAAGTGAGTAATAAGCAATTTCTCTAGCAGGGCTAGAAACACCAACTGACCACGGACATAGACTCATCATAGTGACAAATTTGTCCAGTCCAGTCCCGTCCAGGTTTTGTCGGTCTAGCAATCCGTCCGTGACGGGCCCTGGCATTCTTCTCCACGTTCCCACTCACCAAGGTCTCAACTCCACACTCACTGCTTCACCACGGTGCCTTTAGGAAATGGCGGGTGCCAGAGTGGACTCGTAAAGGGGAAAAATGCCCGGTTCCATCATGCTCGCCCGTCCTCCCTATTTCTCTCAACCTCCATGCCGGGCTCCAATCCAATACCACACACCTCCCCAATTCTTGCCCACGCCCCTGGAAGGGCAGGCGGAGGCTCCTGTACCCGGCCCACTGGGGCCTAACCATTACACACTCCCCCCCACGTCACTTGGACAATGGAACTGGCAAAGACTGCCAGGCCCAGACGAACCAAGTCGTCGTGCCTGTCACGGCCTTCTCCCCGTCTTGTTGAGCCTGAATTGTCATTTTTCCCGTCGTCAACCTTATATAGATCCGTCGTCTGCCTCCCCCTGACCCCCCGGATTCTTGTCCAACCTACCTACAGTGCCTCACCTCTTTGTGTCTCTTTGACGTTTGTGTTTGTCCCTTTTTTACATCACTCAAAACCTTACATTGCCTTGCATCAATCGCTTTGTTAGGACTAGGCAGACATTGGCCTATTACACCTGTCACGTCGACTTGAGCCTTTCGTGTACCATTATGCAATAGGCGTTTAAGAGAAGGAACCATCCATTACTTCAACACCAGTATTCACTTTACACCTCACGAATCCTATCATTTTTACCCTCGACAACTATTCCACGATGCTTTCCTACGATTCCACTCCTCTGCCCATCAAGGCGTCCAACCCAAATTCCATCGCCTTGCCACCATCTCTCCAAGCGACCCCCACCAATTCCTCACCAATGACGGCAGCACCCCCATCGCTCAACTCGGTTGCCGTCAATGGCCACAACACCAACGAGCAGCAGCACATCTGGCTAGTTACGGGCCCTGCTGGATGTGGAAAGACGACGGTTGCTGAATATCTGGCCAACACTCTGGGCATGCCCTATGTTGAGGGTGACTCGGTATGTACAAGACTCTTTTTTTCTCATCCCGCGGGGGTTTTTCCCCCCCCACGATTTGCGGCGTCACAACGTCACCACTAACACGGTCCTCCAGTATCACCCCCCTGCCAACATCGAAAAGATGCGAAATGGCATCCCTCTGACGGATGCTGATCGTTGGGACTGGCTCACTGCTCTCCGAGAAGAGTCAATCCACCGCCTCAATGCCGGATCCAGCGGCGTCGTTCTCACCTGCTCAGCCCTCAAGCGAAAGTACCGAGATGTGATCCGAGTGGCGGGATACTACGACCATCGAATTCTCATTCACTTTGTCTTCCTCGACGCTGCTGAAGAGGTCCTTCTCGCCCGCGTGCAACAGCGACAAAATCATTACATGGGCGCCAACATGGTCCACAGCCAGTTCGACATCCTCGAGCGGCCCTCGAGTGACGAGAAGGACGTCATCACCATCGATGTCAGCAAAACTCTCGATGAGGTGCAGCAAGAAGCCCTGGCCAACGTGTTGGAGACCATGACCAAGGCCGACAACAGGTCATAGCCGTGATGCGGTCTTTCATCATATCATATTACACCTTACACATGGTGGTACACAGGCCCACAGGCACTCACAAACGCAGTGTCGTTGCAGCCAACACCATCCGAAAAGAGTTTTCGAGCCGGGAGTCACAGCGTTACGGACATTAAATCATTAACAACGGAGTATTTTTCAAAAGGAATTTTTATGGCGTTGGGAAATCAGTCGCGCGCGTCGTCGCTGCTGCCGGTGCTCCGGCCATTCGGAGAGCTCTCCGATGCGGTGAAGCCAGCCGCGGCCTCTGACTAGGCGGCGGCCTTGATCCTTGGTTGCAGCCCCCGCAGACCGTCCAAGTTGGAGCCGACCAATTGTACATAGCCAGTCTCGGGCGGGGTGCGGGGTGAGGGCTGCTTGCTTGCATTTCATGCATGGATTGGCGAAAGAGGGACGGGCATGGGAAAGGGATGAGAAGATCCTTGGTTTTGTGTGCGTGTGTTGTGTGTCTGGGCGTTGTGCTAGGCATGCGAGGGAGACGCCGCGCGCGGGATGGCACGGGGAGGCAAAAGCTGGGGTTGACGCTCTTGAGTCTGGGGTTTGTCGCATCCATGGCTGACTGTGATACAATGGATGACCTCAACTCAGACACGAGCATGCTCGTGGTCGTCATTGTTTGTTCGGCACATGGCCAGACACCCCCAGCCCAGTCCAAGCCTAAGCCTAAGCCCAGGGGTCACCGCCCCATCCCCATCCCCATCCCCATCCCGGCATGGGTTCCCTTGTCTTCCCCCCATGCCCATGTCAGGTAATTAGTCTTGAACAAAACCCATCAGTCTCTTGTGAGACGTGGGTTGGAATGCAAAGAAAATTTTTGACACGAAACGCCTCCATCTGTTCCCACCATGGCACAACGCCTGACCAGTGCGCTCCGATGTATTACGGATCAGTGACCAGAAGATGCCCTAACTAGTGACTGTACGCGGTAGATGGCCTCACGGACTAGTTTGATGCAAGGGCCTTCTCTCCGATGGGAGGTTGTCATGCCCCCATCTGCGACTTCGTGTCATTCGATGCAGGGTAATACATCGAGCACCATGTGTTACGGTAAAGACAAACGGTTCAGGGTCGGACTGCACACGACCAACAAAGTCAATGGGCATGTAGCTATTGATCCGGCTTTTGCTAGCACACTATCCATGTCATTTATGCTACCTTATCCTGAAATGATACCGAACCTACCGGCTTTGACAGCTCATGGCTTCCTCTGCCCATCCACACATTGCTAAAAGAGGGACCGAGCACTCGTCGACATGTGAGCGGCCACGTCTCGCTGACCAAGCTGGCATGATCATGACTGCTCATCTCACAACCCGCCTACCCAAGCTAGCCAGGGCCAAGGCGATCCTCGAGTGACAGCTTCCTCGAGGCGGGGTGCATGAACGTATCCGGCGACTTACATGGGCAGAGACGCACGGCGAGGTCATGGGGACAGGAGATCAGCAGGGCTCGTTGCGAATCCGGGGGGACAAACAGCGCATGTTCCTGCGGAATCAATAATTTTCTGCATTATGCGTTTTTCTAGTATCTCTCAGCAAAAAAAAAAAAAAAAGGACAAAAGTTCGGTTGTCTATGCCTATTGTGTAAGTGCGAGCAGATGGGAAACATCGGCTATTTCCAGATGAGGATGGACGAACCCCGTCTGCATCAGCATCGGATGCATCACAGCCCGATTCTCTATCTTTTCAGTCTATCTCGTTTACATTGTTTTTGGTAATCTGCTTGCTAGTTACATCAACGCTCTCTATTACTTGAGGTGCATCACCATGATGTCCGGCTCCTGCACTATCTGTCGCACAACCTCAGCTGCCCGGGCCATGGTTGCGCCGTCAATGACACGGTGGTCAGCACTCCAGCTAAAGTTGGTGATCTGCTTCTTGACGAGCTGGTCCTCTTCGTCGAACGCGGGCACCGTCCGCATCCGCCCGATGCCCAGGATCGCCACCTCGCGCTCCACGATGACGGGGCTGACGTAGGTGCCGCCGATGTTGCCAATGTTGGAAACCGTGATGGTGCCGCCCTGGAAATCGGCCGGCGAGAGCTTGCCCTGCGCCGCGAGGCTCTGCAGCCGTGATAGCTCTGCCGCGATGGATAGGATGTTGAGAGAGCCCACGTCCTTGATCACGGGTACCACCAGGCCTCCCGGTGTGTCCATGGCGATGCCGATGTTGTGCTGCGACCGGTGCACCAGGCACGGCTTGTTTGTCTTGGCGTCCACGTCCACCCTGGCGTTGAGCATTGGGTACTGATACAGCGCCAGGGACACGGCCTTGATGATGAAGGGGAGGTAGGAGAGCTTGGATGGCTGTCCGTCCACCGCGACGCCGTGGGCAATTACACGGTTGAGACGCTTGCGCAGCTCCACCAAGTTTGAAAAGTCGACCTCGTCCGCGTAGAGGAAGTGCGGGATAGTCAGGGACCGTGTCATGGTCTTGAACATCTGCATCTGGGTGCTGGACAGTGGCACAACCGTTTCCGTCTGCACTGAAGTATCCCGTGGTGCAGACGACGGCGCACTTGGCGCACTGGCCTTGGCATCCCTCTCCTTGACGAATCGGTAAATATCCTCCTTGAGGACTCTGCCGTCTCTGCCGGTGCCATCAATATCCATGATGTCGACCTTGAACTCCTTGGAGAGGTGTCGCACAGCCGGTGTGGCCAGGTTTGCGCACTTGCCCTTCTCCTTTACTGGTGCCTCAGCAGGTGCTGGAGATGTCTTTTGTGTTTGCTCGGGCTTGGACTCTGAGGAGGACGGCGGAGGGGGAGGGACATCCTCCTTCTCGGGTTGCTGGCTGACCACGGCGTCGACATCCTCGGGCTTGGCCTCGCCCTCGATATCAATGTCGACAAACGGCTTGCCGACCTTGGCCATCTCGCCCGTCTCGTAGTAGAGCTTCTTGACGACGCCCGAGAAGCGGCTTGTGATTTCCACAGAGGCCTTGTCGCTCTGGACCTCGCATAGCGGGGAGAACTCCTCGACCCGAGCGCCAGGTTCCACGAACCACTGGATGACTTCACACTCGACGATGCCTGTTGCGTGTTAGTCGTGCGCTTTCAGGTGCATCACCAGGCGGATAGTGTAGATGATTGACTTGCCTTCTCCAATGTCGGCCAGGAGTACAGGCTTCACAGCCATTAACCTCCTCGACTCGCTGAACCATCTGGGAGGACAGGCATTCATGGGTGTCCGTGACGCCATGGCCATCTGGCCCACGCCTCTGGCGACATGCCATTGCTTTCGCAGCACTCGAGATCCACGCTGAAGAAACATGATTAACTTGCAATTGCACCTGCGAGGAGAAGAAGTCAGAGAGAGGACATGTCAGAATTTCAAGTCTCCCAGGAAGAGGAGAACAATGGCAATGGAAGGCATTGTCTAAAGCCGAAAGGCTGGCTTCGGTCGGCTCATGACCGTGGATAACCGCAGTCCGGGGGAATGACGGCAGTCTTGAAACTAAAGCCCGATCTGACCGAGTCCTCGGCTCTCTCTTCCCCACAGCCCGGCCGTGCTCCTCCAAATCTTATCTTTGGTGTGGGGACATTCTTGATTGAGAGCGAAATTTCCACACGTTAAAGAGCCGCAATCATCAACCACTCACGCCTCGGCCATGGCGTCACGACGATTCGACCTGGCCCTTTCAGGCCTCGCCCGTCGGCCATTGACATGTCTCTTTTGTCAGGCCCGTCGCTCATTTACATCCTCCGCCGTGCGGGCGGCGACCACCGAAAAGCCCGGGTCCGGCGCCTCCTTGGACCCTCAGGCAAATGTCGCCGGTACCCCGATCGAAGCTCCGCGAAGCTACGGCAAGCGACAGCAGGGCGTCTTCACGCCGAAGCCCCTCCCCCGGCCGATCGGCATGCCCCTCCCGCCCAAGGCTGGTGAGAATACTGGCATTGACCACCGATCAATGCGTCAGCGCCGTGAGGATTTTGTCGACTACGACAAGCACTTGCAAAGGCGAAAGGAGCTGTAAGAACCACCACTAGAGGACCCGAGTCGACAATTTTTCTTATACATAATTGTAGGACGGCCAAGATATCAAGACCCTATTTCCGAGACTGGGGAAACTTGCAATACCACGAAGGCAAGTCCTTCATTGCGCCTCCACGACTTTTCAAGGCCGAGCTCTCCCTCTTCTTCCCCAACTTTTACGGCGAGACCCTCCTCAAGACCGACAAGAACCCACGCGACACCACTCCTCTCCTCTCGGGCAAGGCAAGCGTCGTATCCATCTTCAGCAGCCGATGGGCCGAGCAGCAGGCCCAGTCCTTCACCTCCAAGGAAGAGAACCCAGCGCTACACGACGCACTGGCGCAGCACCCCGACATCACGCAGATGGTTCATATCAACTACGAAGACAATGCGGGCAAGGCGTGGTTGGTCAAGTTCTTTATGGGATCGCTGCGGAGGCAATTCCCCGAGAAGGACTGGGACAAGTACTTCCTCGTGCGACGAGGCATCACCGACGACATTCGCGAGTCAATCGGACTGCTCAACAGTAAAGTCGGCTACATCTTTCTGGTCGATCAATACTGCCGCGTCCGATGGGCGGGAAGCGGAACGGCTCATCCCGTCGAGCAGGAGGGATTGGCCAAGGGTCTCTCACGGTTGGTGGACGAGATCAAGAGGGAGGCTACCATGCCAGCCACGGCAAAGGAGCAACATCCGGGCAAACAGCATCTAGAGGTTCCCAAGCCGTTGTAATTAGACGCCTTCCCGTCGCGGAAGAGCATTGTAACTTAGACACCCATGACCCCACCATGTTGTACAATACAAAACACGCTGATACCCCTGAACGCCTGTCCCATATGCAAGCTGCCCCATTTCCGTTTTACGAGAGGAAGAAGAACAGAATGAAGCAAAAAGCGATGAAGCCCCCCATGATGATGCCATCCCTTCTCTTCTTTGCCGATATCCTCGTGATCAGCGTGTTAATCCCTGGCACCTGACTCGCGGCGTGGGTGATTCTCCGGTTGATGCTGGCCAGGGTCTCGCGCTGCAGGTTGAAACTGTCGTTAACGGCGTACGCCTGGCTAAGAACACTGTCGGCCATGTTGTGACTGTTGTCAATGCGGTTGCGCTCCTCGAGCATATAGTCGGCCTCGGCGGCCTCGGGGTTGTTTTGGCGGTATTCATTAATGTCGGAGCGGACGTTGGTCAGGAGGTTGGCGCGGTCGCGGGCTTGCTGGAGGGTTGATCGCAGTCGCGCGAGGTCCCGCTTATGACCCGAGAGCTTCTCGCGGAGGAGGGAGAGGTTGTTTTGTTTAAGGGCAGATGCTGTGAGGGCGGCTTCGGAGTCGAGGAGGCGGGCGAGCTGATCGATGACAGTTTCGCGCTGAGGACTGGGTTAACACGGTTGATGAAGCTGAGCCGTGGGCGCATACCTTCTGAAGTAGCTCCTCAAGCTTCTTCTCAGTGGTGCGCTCCTCATCTGTAGGCTTTGGAGGAATGCTCGTAGCCGCCGAGAACTGGGAATACGTGTGGAAGAGGTTCTCCGTCTGGTGACGACGTCAGCGAATGCCCTCGGCGCATGATGCCACTCTGCGAACCTGGGTTTCTAATGTTCGGGCCTGCTGCCTTAGTTGGGCCCAGCCCGCATTACCCGACGGCGCAGACATTATGTGTGAGGATTAAAACGGTAGTTGCGACAAGAATACGTGTGTGATGGACTCTTACAAGCTTGATCGACCATCCAGCTCCGACCAAACTCCCTGACGACAACCGGACCGACACCTGGTCCAAGGAAGCGGCAGAATTATTCACCGCCTTGACTAGCGCCGTTTCAAGGTCACGAGAATCAGCACGTGAGGTGCAGCCCCTCCTGAAAACGGGGCCACCCACAGCCCAATCAAAAATTGCAAATCCTCACGAATTATCCACTTTTCCCTCCCCTTCACAAACCCTAGGGCAATTTTTCACTTTCTCGGCAAACTTCTCTAAATTCCTACGCCCAAACGAACCCATCGCGACACGGACGGTGACGGTCGAGGCTGATATTTTCCCAACACACTCGTCGACACACTTCGCACACCACTTCGAAGCTATTCAAGATGGTGAGTACGCACCTTCTTGCCCTCGCCCAGATAGAATGGCGGCCCTCGAGTTGTCCATCTGTCTTGTGGCAGCAGCACCCCCCTCGAAATTATTCGACAGACCACACACACACATCCAACCCCCGATCGAGAATACACTTTCGAATTGGCCATGACTCCGACATCACTACACACGCATACACACGGGGATATTTAAGACGAACGGATCGCTGACAGGTTGTTGTAGTCGTCGGGCAAGGTCAAGGCTGGTGCGCTCTGGAGCAAGAACAAGGATGATTTGACGAAGCAGCTCGCTGAGCTCAAGAGCGAGCTCGGACAGCTTCGCATCCAGAAGGTCGCTTCGTCCGGCACCAAGCTGAACAAGATGTGAGCAACCCACCTATGACGATTTCGAATCGCGAAAGGGAAAAAAAATCTTTGTCGAGAACACGCGAGCTAATGCGTCTCTCCCTAATAGCCACGACCTCCGCAAGTCGATCGCCCGTGTCCTTACCGTTATCAACGCCAAGCAAAGGGCTCAGCTCCGCCTGTTCTACAAGAACAAGAAGTACGCTCCTCTCGACCTCCGACCCAAGCAGACCCGTGCCATCCGCCGCCGACTATCACCCGATGAGAAGTCCCGCGTGCTGGAGAAGGCCAAGAAGCGCAGCGTTCACTTCCCCCAGCGCAAGTTCGCCATCAAGGTACGAAGCAGCCCGAATGATATAAATTTCCACGTGGTGTATGGCAAGGACATGTGCTAACAGTCAATTGCAGGCTTAAATCAAAACAAACTTGCAGTTTTCGGGGATGGCGGACATCTGGGTAGAAAGGAAACGGGGTATGGAGGGGCGTGGCGTGCTTTTTCTCTGAAACAAAAGGCTTCGAAATTTGCATCGCATGGCTCAGGGAATCTCGGTCTGACTTGTACTTGTTTCCCGGTTTTGACCTCGTTCTGGGACGGGATGTCTATGATGGGCGTGCCTGGTCAGGCAGTCTGTTTAAAAAAGAAAAAATGAGGTCATGATCAAGAATGTCCATTGCGTGCATGTGCAGAGTTTCATGTCTTGAAGACTGACGTATGGTGATCTGGATTGGATCCATCCATTGATAAGGTGATGGTTCTTACAGTGTTACAGTCCAAGGCACTCGGGTGTGGCTGCCGAAGCACCAGTGGCCTGGTCCAGCGAGAGCCGGTGGTTTTCCCGTAGTGCCTTTGATGCCTGAGTTTATCAATCAAACGATCAACGGCAACCTCAGGCACCAGAAAAAGCACCTTGAGAGACAGCCAAGTCACCTTGCACCCATGATTTAGAAAAGCCCAGACTCATGAAACAACTCCCCTTGATGAATTTTAACCTCACATCAAACCTCGACACATTCGCACGACCAAGAAAGGCAAGTCCTGGTGACCATCCAGGCGGAAATCCATCGACGTATCGGTCTCCAGTGAGGCGCCTCGGAACGGCCAAACCCGCGTCACCCCACCACTACCTCCAACGACATGCCTCGAATCGGGCAAGGCAAACGGAAAGGAATCTCGCCTCCTCTTCACTTTTCCCCTCCTTCATTCAATCCCGAGCCCTTCCCGGCGCTTCTAACGTGCGCTCTTCGTCGTCTATTTCAAATGGATGATCCCGTCATGCTGATTTACACCAACTGGATGATGATCGGAGGTATCGGACACCCAACATCATGAACCCCGCAAGGGCGACACTGGATGCCTTTGTCGCACAGCAGAAATCTATATCCGAAACCTAGGACCCGAGGACAGGAAGAGAGGTCATGGATTTGAGAGGTTCTGATGCCAGCGCATCACCCACCTGCCTCAATGGATGAGGAAGGGACTTTGACTGTGGAAAGCTCTTGCCAGGTGATGGTAGCTCTGACCTTCCGAGTGGGATGCCGCCAGTTCCACGACTATTCACTTTGGGTTTCATCCTACTCATGCCTTCTCAAAGCTACACTCTCCTATCCAACAGAGTCTACTGGTTTAGACTCATGACTCAACATCAAACAGGCTCTAGTCCGCCGAAAGGGACAAATGGTGGGAACGCATCGACAAAGGAACAATGAGGCATCAGCAGGTTCCCCTTCGCGTCGACGTGGCATACTATCACGACTCACTACAACGGCAACGACATGCTAAGCCATAAGACACCGAGCTATGAGCCATGAGCCAAGATATTCGCAGCTTCCAAGATGTGCTCTCATTTCTGTTGTCTGGGACTAACTTTATGACCCCCGCGTGGGAGGTGTCCTCTCTTATCCACGACGGCAATTGGGTATCTAGTGATATACGACTTTTTCGCCCGATCCTTGTTGCACTGACTTTCTAACCACCAAATCGACCCTAAATCAACTCTGACATGATCAACGATGACGCCCAAAACACCGATGCCGCTTTGAAAAGAGACCGGAGAACTCCGTCCTTCAAGTACGACTTGCGTCGACATGGCACCCTTCGCCCTTCTTAGGCGGTCAAGAACTCTTGCTCCCCTTACGACCACCGTCAGGAGCATGCGTTTGCATGTGCCGACGGAGTTGGTCGAGTCGATGAAAATCTTTCTGGCAGATTTTGCACACATGGTTCCCCCGGATATTGTGTGTGCGACGGTGCTTGGAGAGGTTGGATGATTCGCCAAACCGCTTTCCGCAAACTTCACATACCAGTGGTTTCTCCCCAGTGTGAGTGCGCATATGCATGGCTGGAGCTCAAGTTAGCATGGTATTCTGGTCTCGGTGATCTGCGGACTTACTGAGAGCACTTTGTTGCTTGAAGCTCTGGGTACAACCAGGATATTCACACTTCCAGGGCTTTTCACCCGAGTGGGTGCGCATGTGCTGCTCAAGGGATTGCTTTGCGGAAAGGTAGATGCCGCAGATCTCACACTTGACGGGTTTGACTGCTGCGGTTAGCATACGTCTGGCGAATCAAAGAGGGGAGCACAGGGATGGCACCACTTACACCCAGTATGCGTCTGCATATGTCTTTCAAGCTTGCTCTTCTGGGAGAAGGGTCCTGGTCGGGCACAACCCCACCATGTGCAGCAAAACCCATTGGGGCCCTTCTTAAGGTTCTTGACATGGTCACTCTTGCAGTGATCCTGGAGTTCTTTGTTGCTTGCGAACTTTTGGCCACACGCTATGCCATTTAGGCAGAGCCAACGGCATAAGTGCTCAGCGTTATCGGTCGTTGGCTGCTCATCGACCGGCTTGGACTTGGAGGCAGAGGGGAATTCAGGCGTGGCAAAGCCGCTGGCCTCATTCGCACCTTGGCTAGCATGATTTTGGTTGAGTTGGTGGTCAAGCGATTGGCTGATTGTTGAACTTAGGTCATTTGTGAAGCCATGGGCCGAGTTCAGGTCGTGAGAGAAGCCCTGGGCAAAATGTCCAATGGCTGATTGGTCGAAAGAGTCTGGGGTTATCTCTCGACCGGGCTCGACCGGGCTCACGAGGGCGTTGACGATGGGTTCAGGCTCGGCAGATGGGGTGGTGACGGAGACGGATGCGGGAGTGCCCATACAGTTGGCATCGGTGCAAGGAATCGATGCTTCCTGGCATGAGGAGTCGAGGCATGGTTCGAGGGAGGCGCAGGTGGGCTCGAAGCAGCACGCAGCATGCGACATGTCAAGCTGAGCGCAGCAGTCGTCGTAGCAGCACTGGTCATCGACACCCTCTTCGCACTGAGTCCAACAGTTGACATCGTCGCAGGCGGAGCTACAGGCAGCCGAAGCAGCGCCCCCATACGGCGGCCACTGCATGGACATGCAGTTGGCTGCCGGGTCCATCATATTTGTCACCCATGCTGGATTGAAGCAGTCGGCACAGTCAGGGCTGTTGAGGGGTTGCTGGAAGTGAGCGGGAGACGCGTGGAAGTCGTTGTGGTGAAAGTTGAGTTGAGGGTTCTGAGCAAAAGCCTGGAGAGTAGTCATGGGTTCGATGCTCTGGCTATGGGCATGATGGAAGACCTGAGGCGAACGCATCTGGTGGACATGATGCGACTGGTGAAGATCGTGGGGTTGCGATAATGGAGCAGCCTGTCTCTTTCGCTTTTGCCTTTGCCTGTGCGCTCCTCGGGCGGATTTGGGGTCGGGGTTCATGTTGGCAGTGCCAGCAACGCAGGTGGATCGAGCTGAGGCCTTCTGATGATGAGAGTGCGAGTGACCATACGATGCTCTCTGTCGGGGACTGGAGGTAGCGTCAGAGTTGATGTCGATTCCAAGGTCCAGGGCGGTGTTTGGGGTCGAGGAGGCTTTGCCGTAGTGGTCGAAGCAGCGCTGATCGAGACAAGCGTTCTCAGTGTTGTTGCAAGTGCCGAGTACATCAAGACCGTGGGTTAGCGAAGCATCGTGGCCAAGGTGGTAGTCGAAGCCGTAGTCGACCTTATCGGCTGAGGACTCGAAGGAGGCGGCATGATGATGGGCAAAGATGCCCGATTGATCCATGATGAAGAAGTTGCAAGGCAAGGCGAGGGGGTATCCGATGGGCGAGTGCTACTGCTAACTGGTATCCAGCCGGACTGGTCTCTGTACTGGTATTCGTACAGCCACAGCAACTGCCACTGACTTGACTTTTTGTGCAAGAGAAAACCTACGGCGATGGTTGCGCGGGTGGATGGCTCGGGCGGCGGCCCGGGTGGGATGTTCAGAGAGAGAGGATACGGACCAGTGAGCGCCAAGAGGTGAGAACCTTGATGGCCTGGAGGCTCAATCCATGGGGGACCAAGGCTGAGCGACAGCCCCAGGACTGAGGGGCACTCACAAGCAAGTCGCAGGCACTTTGTGAGCTGCAGTGGATCACTGGAGGCAGGTTCAGCGAGCCGCTACTGGTGGGCTTCAGTGGACAGGACCACTGTGGATTGGTGTGGGGGCCGGCGCGCCAAGGGACGGCAGCCGCTGACGAATCACGATTCGGGGATTGCCTCAACCGTGAACGACAGCGAGCAGGGCAGAAGCAAGAAAGGCACCACCACAATGGGTAGGTGGGGGTTTGTGCTGTTGACTGCCTTGTGGTCTTTGTCTTGTCTTTGTCCTCGAGTGCCTGGTATGGTCTGGTCTAGGTCGGCTGAGGGAATGAGACCACAAATTGAGCCTTGTCTGTGTGTCTTCTCCCCCACTCAAAGGAACTTCTTCAGTGGTGAGGGTTCACACGAGGGAGAGGGGGAACAAGCAAGGGACTGTGATACCATGTCAGAAACGAGCCATACGGAAAAATGGTCAGGGTTAGTGGATACAACTTGGGATAAAAGAACTCACTCGGTGGTTGACCGTCAGTCAGTCCTGATTCGATGCTTCTATTTTTTCGCGTGGGAGGTGGTTTTTTCGTTTCGTACTAGCTCGTCTGATGTAGGTACCTACATCGGGGGAACGACCCTGATGCCCTTTGCTACATCCCCGGCCTTTTGTGTGCCAGTTAAAGTAGTAGTCTGCGTTAAAAAATCTGCGGCTTGCAGCTGAAGAGTCGACCAAGCCTGTAGTCTGCTCTCCGAGTTTTGGTGGTGCAAGTCACTACTCATGAGCCGCCAGCCGCGAAAAACAGCAACCAATCTCACACGTATACGCGGGACGGCCTCGCCGTGTGTCGTTGAGACAGAAAAAAAAATAACAGTTAGGGCAATCCTCCGAGTGAGGCCCTTTCGAGTCTGGTCGTAGAGTCCTGCAGCCAAATCGCAAGGTAGGTGATGTCAGTTGACAGGCACAAGGGCTATTGGAATTTGGCCGTCTTACCCTACACGATGTTACCGAGATGGATATTTTTTATTTCCTCTCTTGTAGTCTTCCCATTGATCATTTGTATGTACTCTATCATTCAGGCTCACAGGGCTATAGTGTCTTGCTTAAACGTGTCTGTTTCCAACTGTGAGGCGGTGACGAATATGCTCGGTGTTGAACTATACAGGCTACATTCGTCCGCCATCAGTGTCACTCTGACGGCTCACCCAACCCAGGTACCACCCAGCAATACGACGAAAAACTGCAGCCCCCAAGCTCCAACCAAAAAGCCCGACGCTGCGCCCCCGCCTCCCAATGCTGATGCGTCCTATCTGGACAGTCGGCGGCCTTCCCCTCCTCCATCGCCGATGCCGACGGCGACGGCGCGGAGGACAGCCGGATCTCACCCCGCCCTTCGGCCCCCACCTGCCTCCGCACCGAATGGACCCTTCGCCGAAGCTCCGCCAGGATACACATTGTATTGGGACATGATAATGAACCAGTTTTTGTTACTCGAGGGCCGGAAAAAAACATGTGATACCACCAGCCTTGCACCGTATTGCTCTGACTGGTCTCGCGCGTGATTTCTTGCTCCTGTCCGTCACGCGCACTTGTATCACAGGCCCTGCACCGTGACGTCGCCAACTAACGTAGGTACTGAGCCTCGCGGGGGGCGCAGCAACGACCAAATGTCGCTTCTCTGGTAACCCCCAGCATAGTATCGCTCGCTCTTCCCCTCAACGTCGGATCTTGGCACCAAGAACGAAACTCGAAATCGTCAAAGGCCTCGCCCGTCGCGGCGACGCTGTCCATTTGCAAAAGTACCAGCTTCAACGCCATATATCTAGAAAATTATCGATTCGACTCGTATCGCAAAGAGCTGGCCCCCCTCTCCGCTCGGATCCGAAAACCGCACTCACCGCATCGACGCCCCGCGACAGGTCGCACCGGTAGATATGGGCAACTGCTGTGGAAAATCAGAGTCGGAGGCCTTTCAACAGCCCGGCCGCGTCTTGGGCACCGCGCCTCCTCCAGCCTCAGGGACAGCACCGGTTCCGACAACAGTAGGAGGTCCACCGCGGACTCTGGGAGGACCAGCACCAGCGGAGACATCAGGCGACGCTGACGATGCGAGAAGGAGAGCTGCTGAAGCAGCAGAGGTTAGTAGACCCGAGTAATTCAATGCGCGCATGCTGACTGACGCTATGCGACACAGGCTCGAGCAAAGGCATATGCGAAACCAGGCGGGAAACTGCAGACACAGTTAGCGGCGCAGAAGAAGCAGACACGATCCGATACGCTTAAGGATGCCAGTCAGGAGCAGCTGCGCGCCCGCGACGCCGACGAAGCAGCCGAAGCCCGCAACTGGGCATGATTTTTGGGACAACGCATGGTGGTAGCGAGCGAGGAAGAGAGAATTGTATGATGGCGCACTCGAATCAAGATGCGACCGATAACACGAGTTAGAACGAGCTTGAAGGATGACGGAGTGACGGACGCTGATTTGATTTCATCGTACCTATCGACGCGAGTCGAGAAATAAACTAGACACCAGAATATCAAGACGGTTGATCACTTAGCGCCTCTCAAGCATAACAGTGAGCTAAAGATATGTGATGATAATGGTAAAGGTTAGAAGCGTCTTTGCCTATCCTTGTTATACCGTATTCACTATCTTTAGGGAAGGACAAGCTAAAGGGTTTATACTTGTGTCTCTCTTTTCCCTCAACTGGAGTACCACCTAAGCGATAGAGTAACTATATAGTCAGTATACAACTATGAGACATCTCCACGAGAACATTTCTACAAACCGTCTGCAGTTCCCATCTACAGTGGTACTATCATGGGTGCTCTCTGGCTGGTTAAGGCGCCTGAACTTCAAATAGAGTTGGCACAGAGAAGAGACCGAAACATCTGAACAACTCAATGCATCATAAACATGCCAATTCATCGACTATATCCATGTTTAACCCAAGCAAGACTCCCAAAATCTGTTGCACAGAGTCCTTATCTCCTACAAACCCTCCGCAACGCCCCTTTTTGGAACAATTTAGCCCTATACAAGTACACATACTTTCCTCACCCTGTAGCATGCAGTCTGTCTCTGTATCATCATCGCAGCCATCCTGAACTCTAGGTAATGGTGTATCTGCCGCTTGCCGGGGCCCTGTTGTCTGCATCCGCAGCCGCGATTGTTCCCTCTCTCAGCAGACGTGTCAGCTCGCTCAGAGCGGAACCAACCACAACCTCGGTGTCGCCCTCGATAAGGATGTACAGCTTCGGCTCCCCCCCTGCGGGCACATCCTTGCCCGGCGGGTAAAAGTTGCCCTTTGTTGTTATCGAAGTGCCTGTAGCCTCCAGAATCTTGGCCACGTTGGTTCGGTTGGTGACAGCCCATCGGGCCTTTTGAGGGAAGTCGTTGATTTCCAGAGTAGCATGGAAAGCGCCAGCGTCTGGGCCCTTGTTGTCGATGGGCTGACCAGCACGAAGCTGGCCGGCCTTTCCAAGACGGCTGTTGATGGCGCTGACTGCCGAGCTGACCTTGTCCAGAGGATCCTTGGTCTTGTCCTTGACCACGTTGGTGTTGACGGTTTGTGTGGGCTTGGCTTCTGCGCCCCCCTCGGCCTTTTGCGCCTCACGAGCCTGAACGGTTGATGTTGCCGCCCGGATCGCGCTGAGAGCCTTCTCTGCCTTGTCATCCTCATCCTTCTTGTCCTCTTTGACCTCTTCTTCCTCACCCTCGGCCTTGTGGGTCTTGCGCTCACGAAGACGAGCTGCCTCTCGTTCCTGATCCAGACGGTCTAGGCCCTTGCCACCGAAGCCTGACGTGTCCTTGGCCTTTCCAGACTTGACCTTTTCACGATGGGCCTTCCTCATCTCGTTCAGTCTCTCAGGTACAGGTTGTCCACTTTGCTCGAGTGCCTTGGCAATGCCCGGCGCACAGTTCTCCTGCTCTGGTGTCACAAACGTGACAGCCACACCGGTGTTGCCAGCGCGACCCGTTCGGCCTGCTCGGTGAACATAGTCTTCCAGATGGTTTGGCGCGTCGTAGTTGATGACAAGCTTGAGCTGCTTGACATCGAGACCACGAGCCGCCACTGATGTTGCAATCAGGATCGGCACAACGCCCTTCTTGAAATCCGAAATGGTCGAATCACGATCAACCTGGTCTTTGCCTCCATGGATCGACATACATGGATAGCCCTTGATCATGAGTTCCTTCAGCAGATCGTCTGCCTTCTCCTGACGCTCAACAAATATGAGCGTACGAGCGTCCTCGTCCCTGTCGTACAGCTCTCCAAGGAGCTCAAGAACACGCAAGAATTTGCTGGGTTCGTCACGAACTTCGACAATTTGCTCAATCTCCTTGGCAACGACGCTTCGTCCACCAACCGTCACCTCAATTGGATTCTTGAGAACCTTCTTGGTCAGCGAGTCGATGATGCGAGGCATGGTGGCTGAAAACAAAATCGTCTGTTTGTCCGGTCGCATGTTGGCAAAGATCTTCATGACTTGAGGTTCAAAACCCATGTCAAACATTCGGTCAGCTTCATCGAGTACCACATACGTGACTCTCTTCAGGTTGGTGACTCGACCCTGGTTGGCGGCAAGAAGATCAATCATACGGCCTGGCGTGCACACGATAATCTCAGCGCCTCGCTTCAACTCAGCAATTTGCTCTCGGATAGGGGCACCGCCGTATGCGCATACAGATCGGAGGCCCATCATCTTCAAGAAAGGTTTGCAATCGCGATGAATCTGAACAGCCAGTTCTCGAGTCGGAGTCATGATCAACCCGATGGGACCATCCGTATCCTTCAGCGGAGGCTGATCCTTGATGTGACGGAACATGGGGAGTAGAAAGGCGACGGTCTTTCCAGAGCCAGTCTTGGCCACACCAATGACATCGCGACCAGACATCAGAGCTGGAAGAGCCTGCATCTGAATCGGTGTAGGCTTCTCATATCCCAAGTTGTCAATGACATCCAGAGTCTGTCGAGTGAGACCACACTGAGCCCACTTCTGAACTGGCTTAGGCACGTCCTTTCCATTGACCTTGATTCCATCCAGTTCCAGGCGTAGATCAGTAACTTCGGTTTCCGTGAGCTGACTGAGCTCGGCTGGCTCCACCCAGAAATTCTTCCTGATGGGTTGAATCTCAACTTTGGTGTAGTCGATGGTCGGGATATCCTTCTTCTTTCGCTTGGCCGTCATGGCCAGCAGAGCATTGGGGTCGCCGTTCTCCTCCTTGTTAAAGTTGTATTCGTCATCGCTGAAGTAGGCTTCGGGTTCCTGGACTTTCTGTGTCTTTGATGTCTTGGCAGGCTTCTTCACCTCTGTCTGCTTGAGATCAGCCATGAATGCATCTAGCGGATCCACATCGTCCTCCTCATCAACCTCCATCTGCTCGGGCACCGGGGCCTTGTCAGCCGAGTTATCCGTAACAGTGTCCCCGTTGGGTTGTGCTTCTGTTGTTGTGGTCTTGTCCTCATCCTGGTCCATCTGGTTCTCCGCCTGCAGTCGCCTTTCATGTGCGGCGCGAGCAGCAGCGGCCGCCTCTTCTTCGTTCTCGGCAAAGTTGTCTCCATCAGACTCGTCGTCGTCCTGATCAGCATAAGGAGTATCGTCAGCCTCGATGGGGAGAGCAGGAAGCTTCGTGAGCTTCCTCTTTGTCGTGTCTTCCTCGTCCAAAACAAGCTTGCGCTTGGCGGATAGCTTCTCGTTTTCTGCGTGGCTCTTGACGAAGCCAAATCCGCTGGCTTTGGCTCGGTTCGCGGGGAGGGCCGACGCTGCGATTATCTCATCAATCAAGTTCAATGTGAAAGCAGGGGATACAACCATACCATTAGTTGCTTGCTTTACGGGAATCGACTTTACGGGAACCGAAAGCTTCTCGGTTGGGCCTCCAATGGAGCCCAGAACTGGCTTGGGAGCATCGTGTGACCGTGACGCGGCCGACTTCTTTGCGATGGCCTTGGGATCGAATTTTCCGGCATAAGGAGTGATGGGAGATGCAGTGGTTGGCGTTTGCGCAGGCGAAGCGGTAGCAGAAACCGACGGAGATACTGTCTTTGACGACGCACCGCTGGCCTTCTTATCCATTTCAGCCAAGAGATTTCTTGTCTGACTCGGATTTACTTCCTTTTGTTTCTGACTGGCGCTCTCCTTCTTCTTCTTCCACGCCTCAAGCTTTGCCAGTCGCTCGGCCTTCTTGTCGATCTCGGCTTGCGCAGCATTCGTCTTGGACTTTTGGGCCTCGTTGGCAGCGGCATTCCCGTTGTCGCCTAGCGGGGTCCTCTGATTTCGACCATCCTCACGGTTGCTGCGAGCAAGGGAGTCAGCCGTACCCTCACGTCGACCGCGGACACGGTCGCGGGAGTCGTCTCGCCTTCTGAAATCCCGATCGTTTTCTCGGCTGCGGTTTCGTCGACGGTCGGGCGATCGATTTCTATCATCGTAGCGGTTTCGCGACCTCCGGCGGTCTCTGTCTCGATGGTCTCGTCGTCCGCCGCGGTAGTAGTCATCGTCGCGTCGGCCTAGTGATCGGTCTCTGCGACGATAATAGTCCCGGTCTCGGCCGCGGTCTCTGTCTCTATCGGGATCGCGGTCGCGGTATCGGGGCTGGTCACGGACAATCTCGTCAGAATAAAGGCCGCCGGGGTTGCGGTGTTGTCTTCTCACATCAGGGCTGCGCGACCTGGTGCGCCGGCGATGGTCTCTCCCGTCATCGCGACGATCACGTTCCCGGCGATCGTCATCTTTGCGGTGACGGCGAGAACTGTGCGAGCTGCCTGCAGGACTTGGTGAGCGCGAGTCTCTCAGCCGAGCCATTGTTGGTGTTCTCGCAGGCTCAGCAGGACACTTCGTTGGTGAGTACTACTTTTTAACGGGGGACCGAAGCCTTGGCAATGCCAACGGCGCGTCGTAGGTAGCGCAGATGCTGACACTCAAGGATGAGAGTTGCCCAGATCCAGAAGAAGCTTGCAGAGAAGCTTGAGATTAGCGTTGACGTGGTTTGGCGATGGATATTACAAGGGTGACGCCGTGAGGGGTGGATTCTCTAACGTTAGAATCTCAGGCACAACTGCATTGTCCCAGAAAGATGATGGATGGCTAAAAGTCTGGGGTGATTAGCCCGAGGTTTTTCCCAAGGCGCCAACGCTTGAGGCTGTCAGTCACGAGCAAATGAGCCGCGCTAAGCTCAGAAGAGTTCCAGATATACCACCTCGGCCCCACACCCTTCCCACCTGCGCTCTCACCAAGCCTCATTCCTGGCTTCTGCTTTATCACGACAGTTCAAAATGGCAGGTCTTGTAGGATATGCAAGCAGCGATGAAGACGAAGATATTGAACAGGCAGAGAAGCCTGTATCAGAACAAAAGGTATGTGTTGAACCTCCTCTCACGAATCAATGGCCTCGATGGTTGGCTCACCTGCCTCGTTCTTCCTAGGCACCTGTGACAATCGCAGTCGCGACCGAGCCGAGGAACCAGGAAAAGGAACATGCGACTTCCTCTACTAATTTACCAGGTATGGACTTCTCTCAAAACCCTCTTCTAGAATTCTTTCGCCACCTAATTCCTGGGTTTTTCCAGCATGCGAAAGTCTGTTGTCTATTACTTACTCACCGCGATACAGAACCCGCGCCTGTATCTCAAAGCAATGAGCCTGTCGCTATCGGCCCAGTTCAGCAGAATGCTGTTCCCCTAGGGCCATCACTTCCACCCATGGAAGAAGCTGTGATAGACGACCAAGACCCTGCGCAAAGGCCCTCTTCACCGTACTCAGCAAATCGTGCCCTTTTGCGCGATCTCACACTTCCTTCGGCACCCAACCTGGACATCCCGCCATCACCGCCTGGCTCACCGCCGCCAGGGGCCAACAAGAAGTTTGAACAGTTCCTTGAGCTCAAGAAGAAAGGAACTCACTTCAACGCGAAGCTGGAGCAGTCATCAGCCCTGAAGAACCCCAGTCTGATGGACAAGTTGATGAAATTTGTCGACATCGATGAGCGGGCTCAGTATTCGACTACCGTCAGCACTGAACTATGGGACCCTAATGCCTTTCCTGAATGGGCGTTTAAGGACAAGCTGCGAAAAAGCCGCGAGAAGCTTGCAAAAGAGAAAGAGGCTGAAAGGACAAGTGGTGGCAGGACCGCCATCGACTTTGTTCCGTCTACAAACACACCGAGCGACAATTCAGCAGTGACTGGTGGACTTTCTCGAGGCGAGAAGCGGAAAAGTGGTTGGAAATAGGAACAGGTCGCCAGACACCCGAGGTCAACCCAACTCAGACGATGCATCCTTTGCCCGAGTTAGATGAACAACAATGATACCCGACAAAAAGGGAGAGTTCGACAGTTAAATTTGATAGTCCTAACCGACATACATGGTGATCCGCATCAAAGGTATCATAATCCGCCATACGCCCTTCCTCCCAGCACCCATCCTCATATTATTCGCCAGACGATCTATGCCGACGGAGAGGTTGAAGGAGGTTTCACAAGATCCTTGGCAATCCCCTGCAGCTACACGGCCGGCGTGGGCTTGCACGCTCGACGTACAGATCCTTCAACTATTCGTCGCTATCAGAAGAACACTTGACCTCGTACCCCAAGTCCTTCTTGAGAATGGCGCCGATATCCATCTCGACGGTCTGGTTCGAGCTCCCCAAAGCCGCGGCGAAATATGTGAGGTTCTCACCATGATTTATCACCGACTTGCCCAGGAGCTTGAGGGGGACAACACCTGTCTTGCAATAGGGCTCGCTCCGGACAGCTTTGAGAACTGCAGTCTGGTCCATATTCGCGGTGATGTTGACAATGTTGCTTCCTGGTCTAAGTACGAGATTCTGGATATAAAGGGTACCAACTTCTTCGTCACCGATAAAGTTGGTGAATGAGACGTTGCCCTTTGCAAGAATGGTAAGCTTAGGCGAACTATATGGGGAATATATCACTTACGTTATCCAGGGTGAAAACAGAAGCGTTGGGGATGTTGGCGGTGCCGTTGAAGTTGCGACCGTCCTCGCCTGCACTGTCCAAGGAAATGTGGCCGTCGGTAACCTCGGTACCGTCGAAATGGTTCAAGCCCTTCAGCTCGACAGTCTTCTTGAAGTCGACGCCATACTTTCGCGTCAAGCCACTTGGCTTTACCTTTGTCCTTCCGTTGATGGTGACGCGCACAGTCTCGTTGTTGTGGAACCAGACATTGAATCGGGTGAACTCCTCCATGTCGGTGATTTCGATATGCTGACTGACGTTGACGACTTGGTGCTTGTTGGCATTGGTCTGAGGGAACTGCACTCTGGCGAAAGGGACATGGGGCGGCCAGTCCTCGAGATACATATCGCCCTCGAAGGGGTCGACCTTGGCATGGATCTTGCCATCAGTGGTGATGGTCGAGTTGATTTGCATCTGGTAATTGTCGGGTTCGGTCTCGAGGATGTTGACGCCCTGGATCTCAAGCTTGGCCTTGTTCATCTTGTCTTGTGCGATTTTGGGGACGGCGACGAAGATGCTACCGAGTATGGGTCAGCCATTCTCATGGTGAGCACAGGTCGGTTATGACTTACATCAGGGGAACAACGAGAACAACAATGCAGCAGAACACGATGAGGTGAACCCACCAGAAGCGCTTGCAGTGTCGCGCACATGTTCTCTTCTTGGACCCAGCGATGGGTCCATTCTCCGTCTGGGAGAGCTCCTGCTTATCCGACATGTTGAGCTCGGATGTCTTGCTTTGGGTGGTTGTTCGCAATCTCTTGTGGACGAACAGAACAGCCAACTCCTGCCTATATATCGAAAAGGACTTGCGACAGGTTGAGCACGGACAGCGTGGTGGAAGGGAATAAAGACAAACCAGCCATTCAACATACAACAAGGATGGAACAAGACCCGAGTTTAAGTAGGATGGCGTCGGGGTTGATCTGGCCGCCCATGACCCAACGGAACGAGAGGGGGTTCAGCATATGCGGTACATCACCAGTGCGCAGACGGCGCACCCTCGACACACTCAAGCACGGGGACCAGATCGCCATGATGTTGTTACTTTGCATCTGCCCCCCGGGCATTGACTGCCAAAAGGGGAAAGTGGCCGACGAGACAGTACGGCGCTACTTCCCAGGTTTGCCTTGCATGGAAACGAGGGTGTAGAGGGTGGGAGGACGAGCGCTTCTCGACGTGCCTAGTCGCAAACAGACCCTGGTCAGACCCTCAGGGCCCTTGTCGTTTCCTTGCCAATCTCCAAACTGTCCCTCGGCAGCTCGTGAATTTGACGAGTCGACGAGATGAAGAAATCCCCAATTGCAGTGGCCCCATGTTTGGTCATTGAGCCCGGAAGACGGACGATGGCCGGCAGGGCGCCCACCCCTGCTTCCCTCGAAATTGTGGGGGACGGGAGAAGGACCGAGAAGGGAAAAGAGTTGTTCAAAGACAGTTGCGAAATCACGAAGTGTCTCCTACGCTGGCCCCGAAAGCTTGGTTTCCCCGCATATTGACGGCAAAGGGGTGTTGCATTCCTCCGCTTCTGACTGGCACATGAACATCCACATGGGAAGCAATAATAGCACTGAGCTCATGAAGTTCTGTCGCCACTTGAGGTGTTGTCAACTCTCGTTCGGGAGTGGCGGCGACGACACTGCTTTACTGCGTGCATACACCCTACGTTCAAGGCCCTCTGAGTTGTTCCCACCACATCTGTTGTCTGGTGATGGACGGGACACGATTTATAACGGTGAGCCTTTGCCATGGGCGGCTCTGCGACCGAGCGTTGGCGTAACATACGACGTCCAAATTCTGGACTGTTGGGTTGACACGAGATATCCAGTGCTCAAGGCCCCGAGAAGGAAATGCGTATTAAAAGCTGTGCTGTGCAGTCGAAGCTGAAGGATGGAGGAGTGCACGCGACAGACCGAGGGCTGCCAACACGAGCCAACCACGGGCCATTGCGAGCAAAGCCAAGCCAATACAATTGTTTCAATTCCTTGACCCTGGCATGGGTGGTTGATCTCCCCTTGTGGAGCGCCCACGCAGCTAATCCTGATCAGTCGACCAAGAGATGGAATGTTCACCGAACAGAAATGCATCCATGACGGCGAGGGTTTTGCGACAGAATTTTCGCCGCCAATTTCTCCCGCCGTGTTAGAGTTGCGCAGTGGCGTGTAATGACAGCCAACCGATCGATTCAGCAAAGCTGACACCAGACGCCGCCACCTTGGACGTTGATGTTTGAGCCTCGGAGTGGCTGGTTGAAGAGGAAAAGGTTCACGGCCTCCGGACCTTTCAGCTCCTACGACCGACCGGCAGCTGTGGCACACCATCTCGGCCGGGACATCTATTGTGGGATAGTCAACTTTCCACCTTCCGGAGCTTGGACAGGATCAGCATGGGGGGCGTGAGGTGAAGTGCTGTTTGGTGCATGCCCTTGTCCCTGCAGATGAGAACCACCAACAATGATACATTGTGCAACATTGCAGCCAATGTGCAGCATGCTGATTCACTGTTGTTGCCTCTTGACGGCCAAACGGAATCCTCAGCCTTGGATCACAAGCTTGCCAAGTCAAATTGACACTCGGGCTCGGTTCCTTGACTGGTTCTGGACCCTGAGGGCCAAGATATTCTCACATGGGATCGAGTTTCACGCCGCTTCTCATAATCGATATCCAAATTTCAAGTTAAATTTGCGCTGAACAAAACAATGCAATGCTCCTCAGCCATTCGGTACAGTACTTTGACACATGCGTCACCCAATGTCCTCTGCCCGGTGCCTTACAGTCCTGCAACCTCGTTGGGATGACGCCGCGCGAGTCCACCGTGTCCCTCCTTTCCAATTTTGTATTATCCCACCCAGAAACAAAAAGTCCCAAGCCCAAGCCTCTCCGCCCGGACATGGCGCCAACCGTCGTCCCCGTCCCCGACCTTGCCGCAGCCATGGCGGACAGGGGTACTGAACTGGGGAAGGCGGGGCCCCATTTGGGGAAGCCTGAAGATCTCGTCTCCCGTCACCTGTGAGCCGAGGCTCTATCTGACATATGAATATCTCATGATCCATGGCTCTCCTCACAGCTTGGATTTCGTCCACAGGCCTCTTCGGTCCAACCCCGCATCGCCATCGTAAATATCTCGTTCCACCTGTCGAGCGTTCACCTGCCGACCCAGTTAGTCAAGATCGCCAAGCGGAGTGGGGTCTTGGTCTGGGGAAACCTGGGGAGACGAGATAACTTACAAATCTAGGCCCAAGCTCTGAGATGTTCTTGGCTCCCAGCAACCTCATACACGTTGCCGTCTCCGCCTCGAGGACTGGTTTACATGTGTTAGACAGGGTTCGGACATGTCCGGAATCGCGGTTGGAACTTACTCTCGAGAACCCTCTCGACACCGGCTTGACCTCCGGCTCCGAGGCCGAATAGTGCGCCCCGACCGATGCCGACAGCGCTTGCGCCGAGACACAGCGCCTTGACAACGTCGGTTCCACGCTTAATACCTCCATCAACCCAGACTTCGATCTTGCTAAACACCTCGGGGCAGTATTTTTGAATCTCGAGGAGTACGTGGATTGCCGGAGGCGCTGTGTCGGCAGCTCGGCCACCGTGGTTGGACAAGATGATGGCCTTGACTTGAGGAGCATATTGAGCCGCCAGGTAGGCATCTTCGTGAGTCTGCAGACCCTTCAGCACGATGGGCAGATCTGTATGCTCAGCCAACCACGGCAGCGTCGTCTTCCATGTCAGGTCGGCAGCGGTGCCAAAGAAGAGCTGCTGACCGACACCTCCGGCACCAGGCTTGCTCTCACCGCTTGCAGGACTTGGCTCAGAGTAGTCAAAGTTGGCCTTCTCATCGAGCTCACGCTTTCCAGGGACAGGCGCGTCCAGAGTCAAGCACACAAACTTGTAGTAGTCACGCATGGCCTCGATGCGTTTGAGCATAGCCTCGCTCTTTTGTCGCTGGTTCTGGACGTAGAGCTGCCAGCCAAAGGTTTGTCCAGGCTTGGCGCCTTCAATGACTTGCTCGGGTGTCATGGAGGCATTGTTGGATACTATTTGCATGGCGCCGAAGCGTGAGCATGCCTTTGCGATACCTTGCTCGCCATCCGGATGGGCCAGTCGGGCCATGGCAGCCGGAGCCACAAAGACGGGAAGGCCGACCTTGTTGCCGATAAGGGTTGTGGTGAGGTCACAAGCCGTGCAATCGACAAAGACTCGAGGGCGAAGAAGAATCTTTTGGTAGATCAAGTTGTTGTAGCTCTTGGACCATAGGTCATCGCTGGCCGAGAAGTAGTAGGCCCATGCCTTTCTCGAGATGCGCTTGGTAGCCTCCTCCTCGACCTCATCCAGGTTCATGAGTGAACCCATGGGGGGCGGGCTATCGTCTCCAGACTTGACGACGGCCTTTTCAGACGTGGGCTCAGGCTCGGTGAGGGTTTCTTGGTTGATCTCACCGAGAATGTCCTCGGGCTTGAGGTTCTCCTCGAGGGTGCCAGGCGGGTGAACAGGGTCATACTCTTCTGTGGCATCCTTACCAGCGAGCTTGAGGATGATCTTTTTTCCGCCAGGATGAGATGGCAGAAACTCGGTCACATCGTAGACCTTGCCATAGAGCACTACCCAGCAGCTGTCTGGGGTGTTGTGCTTGGCCACTGGCGAAGGAAATGTCGTGTCAGTGGAATTGCACCCTCTGGCGACATGTAAGAGGGTGGAGTTGGGGGGCCTTCATACCTTCAGCAGCGTCGAATACCTTGGCCATGATGGCTTCTGTTGTGGACTACGGGAGGAGGAGAAGAAGAGAGGAGAGAGAGGATGGGAAGCTTTTGTCCCTTGAATATCAAGGTCAGATCTACTATTCGACTCGGCAAATGCTATCCCGCTTTCCAATTGGAATCTCGGGATTGGGGGTTATCGATTGGGGGCGGCGCCCGGAGCTTGCAGTAGGAGGGCGCGTGTTCTAAACAGGCGGGGAGGAAAAAAAGAAAGAAGGTGAAAGATGCAAGCGACCTCAGAAATGCCTGATATCAAATCAAATGACGAGCAATGGATCCTTTTTTTCTGAATGAGCAGGGGTTTGTTTATTTCAGGAGCAGGATATAAAAACTCCAGAATGTCTTCTTTTTTGCGCGAACGAGAAACACGGCGACTATTCCAGATTCCGTTGATATCAATGGCTGCTTCGCTATTGGATCGGACTGGACCCCGAACCAGGTCCGCCGACCTCGCCCGAGGACCCAGTCGACGTAATGATATCTCTTGAACGTCATGTACCCCGGCACCCCAGATATGGCCTTCTCCTGCCCCGTTTCACATGTACTCGGTACCTAGAAGCCACCCGGGCCGCCAGTTTTCCCTCCCTCTGCAGGAACAAGCAACGCCACAAGTCTCAAGCCACATTTTCCAGAAGCCTCCCTCTCAGCCTCTTGACGCTAAACAATCCATTACGACATTGTCCGCTTGGCCCGGAGGAGGCACAAAACAACCTGCACATTGGAATTTTCCTCCAGCGATATATCTCCCCAGCCTCTGTGAGCAAAGACCAAAAAGACCAACCTCTTTCTTTTTTTTTCGGCTAGACTTGCGGTCAGCTCACTTTTCTATCAACCATGCGGCCCCCCGTCGCCTCCCCGGCTGTTCGCGACATCTCTCGGCTTTGTGTCCGATGTCGACTCCGAGTTCGCCGAGCCTCGACTCTTGCGCCTTTGCATCGTCCACTCGTTGCCGCAACACCTGCGCCGCGCCATGTGGCTATCGCGGCCACCGCACGGGCACCAGCGACGTCGTTTGTCCAAGTCCGCTCCGTGTCTTCTAGCGGCGCTGCCGGCTCTGCTGAGTCCGCACCACCGTCTTCCGCCCCGGCGCCGCCCACGACACACTACCACCTCTTCCCCGAGACACTCCCAGACGGGCCTCCCCCAGCGGGACACTTCCCTATCGACGTGCGCGCCCTCCGGCGTGAGTTCCTCCGCCTGCAGGCCCGCGCACACCCGGACATGCACCCAGCCGCGGACAAGGCCCGCGCCGAAGCCATGTCTGCGCGCATCAACGAGGCCTATAAGACCCTCGCAAATCCTCTATTGCGAGCCCAATATCTACTCTCTCTACGCGGTGTCGACGTCGCCAACGACGAGACCCTCAAGGTTGAGGAGCCAGGCCTACTCATGCTCGTCCTCGAGGCACGCGAGGAGATTGAGGAAGCTGAGAGCGAGGAGGACCTCGCCGAGCCCCGCGCCGCAAACGACGCTCGCATCGCACAGAGTGAGGAGGTGCTCGAGCGAGCCTTTCAGCACGATGATATAGAGGCTGCCAAGCACGAAGCGGTGCGCTTGCGATACTGGGTTAATATCAAGGAGAGCCTAGATAACTGGGAGAGGGGTAAGCACATTGTGCTGCAGCATTAGACAAAAAGTGTGAGCAAGAGCCAAAACGAAAAATCACGTCCGGGTAGGCTCCGGACCTCCGGCGCCGGAAGCGGGAGAATGTACATTAAAAAAATACTCCGGAGTCCGGAGGGGTGACGTCCAGAGGTGTGATCAATCTCGGCGCAGACTCCGGCGCAGACTCCGGCGCACGGGGACCTATAATTAGGTACAGATCGCCGAGTGAGATGGCGGCATTGGCATCGAACGACTCTGTCGTCATCTGCCCAAACAATGGGCTCATGAGTCTAGACCTCCAGCCGATAAGATAAATGCATAATGAGGGCATGGGTAGGAAAAAAGCTTGTCCAATGCCATGCCTGGGGATGCAAAAGACAATCTCCTCTTTAGATAGACGACGGCGTGAGCCCTGCTTCTTTGTATTTGTAGAATTGTATGCATGTGTGTGCATATACCACTCTGGTACGGTTGGTGTTGGGGGAATAGATTGTGCTTTTCGCAGTCCCTCCCCTTGGGAGTCATCTCCTCGGCAGTACATCTTCTGTTCAATGTGAGACAGAGCTCATGTCGTGAAGCTGGTCGTATATAACATCCTGTTGACAATCTCAACAGTATCAGTATCCATTCCATGTTGTCCATGCATCCAACACCTATATCCAAACGCCTTGGTCTCGGCCATAGCGCCCAAAGACTGTATAGATATCTTCATCATCGTATTATCGTAAATCCAAGTAATGTACTTCAACAAGCCAATACAAATTATGTCATCGCTGGTAAGCTGGCAGCTGCTCTCCGTCACCATGTCGTGAGCTTCCAGATGGTCCAGCGCCAGATCCATATCCTGGAAAGTCATTATCAAAGTCATCGAGAACTGGGGCGCTAGGCGCACTTGGTTCTGGTTCTGGTTCTGGGTCTGGGGCCGTTTCGCCCGAAGGTCCCCCATTCCTTCGGTCCATATCCTCTGGAAACTCTGGCGGAGCGCTGGCTTCCTGCATCAATCGTCGTCGCTCCATCTCTTGCTTGTCTTCCACAGCCTGGGATGGTGGTGCTGCAGCCACCTCAATGTCGTCTTCAGTGGGCGCTGAAGGACCTGCCTCAGGGGCATTGGGCGCACTTGGAGCACTTGGAGCCGAGTCGGCAGGGAGATTGGAGGCATTGGGCGTGTCCTCGGCATCGTAAATGTTGTCGTCTTCGTTGCTGGTGGATGGACCCGCCTCTGGAGGCTGACTTGGTAATAGCCTTGTCTCGGCTTGCCGTATTCTATCCTTCTCCGAGAGGTTGCTCTGGTTTGGTATTTCAGGGGGAGGTATGTATGCGGGAGCAGTTGGAGGATGGACAGAGCCATTGGTTTGCGCGTGAGTATAACCCGGATGGGATGGCGGAGGTTGCGAAGGAGGTTGCAAGGGCACAACTTGTGAATATGGCTGAGGAGGATGTGAAGGGATAGGCGGCGGATGGCGGTTCCCGTTTTGTTGTGATGGAAAGTAACCGCCAGGAGACAATTGCCCATTGTTTTGATGTGTCTCAAGGGGCCCTTCATCGCCATGACTCGAATCTCGACCTGCTGCCTCTTCGTCGTCGCTTTCAGGAGCTCGATTTCTCCGTGATGTCGGTGAAGCTCTCGATCTTTTCCTTCCCCTCGATGTGTCTGTAGTACCCACAACCGTCTCTATTGCCACAGAGATGACTCCTTTTTCGTGCCGTAGTTGGGAAGTATCCGCAATGTTGGCCCCCCTTCTTGGTCCATAAGTATAGTTATCCGAGTTTCCATGGCCATATGATCCGAATCTGGATGCCGGACCTGTCTGCATCTGGTTGGATAACCGTCCACCTAAATCAACCACAACCTCGACTAGGTACTTGAAGCTGATCATCTCGCCGGGGACACCTTTAATTGTCGGAAACGAGTCGTCGGGCAGCTTCACAGTAACAGTAACCGAGGTCTGCATGGTGCTGGGGTCGATGATGAGAGGCGCTATGTTCTGGTCCAAGTCCTTGCGGAATATGCTCGTTGAACCCGATGATATTAGTGTGAGACCCCCGAGGCCAGTTCTTGACCGCGGAAACACTTCATCCTTGTCCATTTGCGCCACATCCTCTCGACTCAATGACCCGTCAAAAAGCCCAGGCGGTGGGTTGCTGTCGATCTTCCCTTGCCTGAAAAGCGTCACAATAACACCTGTCATGCTCTTGATACGCTTGATATGTTGAACCGTGACCCGCACGGATACGGCGTCGCCTGGCAAACAACCACCCTTGATCAACTCTATCGTCGCCGTAATAGTCTTCTTGTCCACCGCCTGCTGCTTGGCTGATGTCAGCGTCCCAACCTGGGACAGTGTGAGATCAGGCCGGCTAACACCTGTGCTGCCGCTCACGCCGCTCTCTCCACTCACTTCGCTCCGCATGTCGCTCTGGATCGGGCTTCGAGCATCTACGGCATGTTCGCGTGTCTCTTCTGTGGGGGTCTCGACAGGATCTGGTTCCGAGCCAAGCTCATTGACCTCTGACGGGGCAGCAGACGCCTTGTCCAGCATCATTGACTTCTTCCTTCGGGTTCGTTTCGATATCGGCTCAAGAAAGATTGTTCGGGGCCGCGGTGCCTGTAGCGATCCTATATCTACATTCTCCACTAGCATCACTTTTCTTTCGCAGGACGAAGTCGGGGCGATCGATGTTGGCCTTGTAAGTGTCGCTGTAACCATGTATGAGACAGTCCCTCGCTCAAACTGTGACGCTGGTCAGTCATTCTCCAGTCGCAAACCAACAAGCAAGGGACATACGTCGATGCTGCTTGGTAGACCCTTTTCAGGGAATACAAGGTTGAACCCAAACTCATACCTGCCCGGCTCTAGCCTTCCCTCGCCGCTCAGTACCTGCTCATCTTGAAAGAGGCTGGCGAGCCCATTGCCGTGATACCGTGGTCTCGCTGAGTCGCCGTTCTGCGGCATCACGATACTCCCTTGGGCTTTGGCCACTGCAGCTGGGTCCTTGAGCACTCGCACATAGCCATGCAGCGACACAGTTAGGTGAGTGATCCGCACTGGCTTGACTATGACGAGGACCACGGCGCCGCGAACATGGTCGCCGGCGCCATACCGGCGATGGGGCTCCTCGGCACGGATATGGAAGTCGGCGACATTGCGATTTCGGTTGCGTAGCGAGAGAGGGAGGCTGAGGCGCGACAAGAAACTCGGGCGCGTAGAGGAGGTTGTGGATGCGGTGGGGGAAGTCGCCCGAGGGGCGGGAGGTGTCGACGAGCCAGCGGAACCGACGGGCGACGAGGACGCGACGTTGGAAGAGTTGGATGCGGCGGTTCCAGGCGCAGAGGTAGGATTAGCGAGCGACGGGGAGGATTTCGACCGACGGCCCATTCCCAGATGTGGTGCCGAAGGCATGGAGACCAGGATCCGAGGTCGAGATCGACGTCGAGGTTGGGAACCGACGTCGCAGGCCTGGGATCGCAGGCTCGTGAAGTCGTCCTTCGCTGCAGTTGTGTACTCTCGTGAGGGTGCTGACTCGCGTACAATGCGGGCTTCGCTTCGGTGGTTGTGAGGAGCAGAGACGCTGAGCTGGCGGGTGCGTCGAGGTTCAGGCTCTGAGGAGGGGGGTTAGAGGCCTGGGATGGATCCGGGTTTCTGGAGAGATGAGGAGTTTCGGAGGGGGAGAGGAGCGATGTTGAAAGATGTGAGTAGCATCTATGCTAGAGTAAAGGGGATTTGAGTGACCGGGTAAGTTTGACGGATGAGTATGAGCGAGTGAGGGTGTGCAAGCACGTCGAGGTCGCACACGGAGGCGGAGGTGGAGGGCCGCCGGCGGGAGAAGGAGCTATGGATGGGCGGGCTGTAAGTTCGCACGATTGAAGGTTTGGAAGGTTCGTGTGCGGGAACCTAGGAAGGAACCTGCCCGAGGTGACAGTGGAGGACAGCGCTGGAGAAGCCACTGGAACGCTCCCATTATAGTGACGGGAGCCCCGTCGCCTACCTAGGTAGGTACCTGGCCTGCCTGGTAGGAAGCGGCCAGTGCGGGAACCCCCAGCCCGCCTAACCAGCCCGGCTCCATTGTAAGCCAGGTCCCATCCATCTGAGCGTCACCAGTCCGAATTGCGCCAAACAACGTGCAAGGCCATTTTGCCGTGCCACTCATCTTTGTTGGAACACTCTTCTCTCCACTCTTGATTTGTCAGTATTACCTCTCGCTTGCGCTGCTGAATGCTGAATGCGTGCAGACATTGTCCTGCGACCAAAGGGGCGAGGTCAATTCACCTGCCTTGACGCCGTCCAATCTTTGCGCAGGCCTCCAGTTGTCGAGAGACAGGACTCGACAGTTCTCCAGTAATTCCCTATGTCATCAAGGCTTGCATATGCCAAGACCTCACGGGCTATCGCCCTCGCCAAGAAAAGCTTGGTTGTGGCCACGACGAGCTTGTCTCGCGTGTTCCGCCCGAGGATTTAGATCCTGGGACGAACAATCAAAGTGGACCTGTACAACAGCAAGGCTAGGTGGGATACCGATCCCAGGGGTTTCTAGTTCTGGCAATTTGCAGATTTACGCGGCATTGGGCATTGACAACCACCCTGGCCATGTCTCTTCAGGTTCAGGCTCCCTGGATGGATGGGGATGGATGGCACAAACTCCGAGTCGTCAGTCGCAACAACCGATCCGATCCTCTCCCCTGTCAAGCGCCATGATTGAAATTTGGTCGGTGCGGCGTGGCTGGATCCGGTTGAGGCGCCGCCCTCGGCCCTGGCTCACTTCATGGGTCCCATGTAGGTAATCTTCAACTGTAAGCCGTCACTCGCGTGTTTGGATGGGGCTCTTCGAGATGACTACCAGCCTTGGGCCAGGGGGTGCGGACAAGAGGATGTGAACCCAAGGCGAGGTTATTACAAACTGCCGGGAGCATGAATACGTAGGCATCTTGGTATGTCGCGTACCTGGCTGCCTCGACAACAGGTCGAGTCAAGTGAAACTTCACAAGCAGATCCTTGGCGAGCAATCAATTTTAGTTCTTTTCTTCATTTCTCATCCATTTGTTTTCTATCAACACATTGATCGTCGTTCCTCGACAATGTGTCTCTAATCCCCGTAGGCATAGGCATACCGACCTGCCCATCAAACATCAACATCTAAAGACTACTATTACATACATGGTATCATCATCCACCCTGGGGTCCCGGATTCCTGCCAGGGCCCATGCAAACCAATCCACCCATTGTAATGCAAGATAATGATCAAAACCTCCAGTCCCCTTCATACTGTAATGAGAAACAACCAGAACGCCTTGCGATGCTTTAACATGATCCTCCCAAACCTTTTCCAGTCTAATCCAGTGCCTCTCCGCTCAAGATGCTCTTCAGGATTCCTGCACCAACACCCTCAGCAACAGACTGAAGCTCCTTCTCTCCAACACAGCTGGTGATTCTTCGCTCGTCTCCAGACGCAGCCATGGTCTTTCGACCCCTCTTGCTAGGTGTCTGTGGCACCGCAAGACTCCCGCTCTTTCCATCCGATGCGTTGACCAGACCAAGAGTCTCCAAACTGCCCGCAACCTCCCGAAATTCGGAGCTGGATAGGGGGTGAAGGACCGAATCTCGGGTGCACAGTTGGCAGTATGCGTCGAAAAGAGTCTTGATGGTTGGTGACAGTAGCTTTGCCTTGGCTGGGGTAGAGCCACCATGGGTCATCTTGGCTGCTGCTCGAAGCCGCTTCTCGTAAGCCACAAGAGCACACAGGGCTGCCTTCTGCTGTAGGTTCAAGGCCTTGAGTCGTTGTGTTGTGCCGTTGCTAAAAGCGGCGGCGGTGATCTTGTTGAGATGTCCAATGGACGCTCGTGGGGCCGTCTCTGCGTTGAGTGCCTTGAGTGAGTTCGCCATTATCTGAACCACGCTTCTCGGACCACCCGAAGCTCCGTTGATGTTCTCCCCCAGGGGTCGCTTGGAAGGAGTCATCTGCAGCAATGTCTCTCGAGCCTCCTCCTCATGCTTCGATCGTGTCTCAGCCTCAATCAGATCCAGTGCTCGGCGACAAATCTCAAAAGCCTTGCGGATGTCTCCAGTTTGGCTCGAGACCTTGCGAGAGCAAAGCTCAATAGCAGCAGGGTGAATGAATGGGACGTATCCCTCCTTGCCTCCGGCAGGCATCAGAGACTTGAGCCGCGTGGTAATGATGTTCTTGACCTGGGCCGCATTGTAGGGGAGGAACGGCAAGAGATCGGGCTTGAGGTTCTTGGACTTGAGTCGGGGCAGAAACCGGTCGGTCAAATCCAAGGCATTGGCAATGCCGACCAGAACAAGCCGGGAGTTCTTTTGCAGCGACCACTCAAATACCCGGTAAAGACTTTCCAAACCCAGAGTGAGAATGTGATCGATCTCGTCAAGAGTCACAAGGTAGGCAATGCTCGATTTTGTTTTGGGGGCAAACATTGCTTGCAGAGCGGAGATGGCCTCGGCCTCAGACGAGTCACCCTCGTGACCCAGCGAGTTAAGCAGGGTGGTGTAGAGATCCTTTGATGACTTGACGCTCATGCAGTTGACGTAGGCAGCTCGCACATTCTCATGTTCGGCGTACGTTTTAGTCATCTCTGTGATCATGGCGCTCTTGCCAGTGCCTGGTGGCCCGCTAACGTAGAGGCAGCCGCTGGGGCTTGACGATGAACATCGTTCGAGGAACTCGGTCAGCTGTTTGCGTTCAGCGTCTCGGCCAACAAGCTGGCCAGGCTCAGCACCGCGGGCGAATAGTTGTCGAGCCGAGTGGTAGATGGTCTGGACTGCGCTGGGCGAGAGAGGCGTGTGCGGTGTCAGTCGCTTGAAGAGTTTGCCAGCCGACATGACGGCGTGTCGAGGTGTTGTAGGGGGCACCGAGAGAGCATCGCGATGTCGTGGAGTTGATGGTGTAACGGGGTTTTGCTTTGTCGATGCTTGAGAGGGAGAACGTCGTGTTCGGGGAGGAGGAAGCTCGGCCAGTTCATCGTCTTCCTCATCGTCGAAGGGGGAGTATGAAGGGTCTTGATTCTCGTCGTTATATGAGACAGTCTTTGCGAGGCGACGACTTCTCTTGGTGGGAGTAGCAACCACACAAGGCTCATCTGTTTTGAATCCTCGTTAGCAACTGTTGCTAGGAAGGCGAGCTCCGTGCTCGAAAAGGGACTTACCAGTTTCGTCGATGCCTCGGGCTCTCTTTCCAAGTGTTGCTCGAGCCATGGTTGTGATGGCACCTTCCAGCTTCCAGTGACGATGTACAAGATGCAAAGTCGATGGCACTTTCCAACAGGGTAGGTTGAGGTGCTGGGGTTTGGAAGATGAAGAAGTTGCAATCGACGTGATGGGTGGATTGTCGGTTGCAGTTTAGGGTGAGTGGGAAATATTGGATGGAGCCCCATGTTCTCGGCCCTGCGCGCGCCGCGATGAGCGTCAAGGCGTGTCAAGCGCGTCGAGACGCGCGACATCGCGAAGTCGAATCAATTAAAGACGTGGTCCGTGCACGAGAGTCTCGAGGCGCTGGCATCAGCCACGATCCACGAGCCTCACGCGAAACCTCCCCTGTCAGCACCAGGGGATCTCCCTGCCTGTCACGCCTGGTCGTGACAAGGACGAGCAGCGCGTCGATTGGATAATAATCTTCGATGGATTGCCGATTGTTTGGACCTGTTTCTTCGATCAACTCGACGGCGAGAATGGATACATCCGATGAAAGGCCAGGGGTGTTCGCTTGACGCTTCCAAATGGGGTAGCCAACTCGCCAGAGGGCAAGGGGACAAGGGCTCGTCTTGGCCGTGGAGTGAGATGCAGGTTTCTGGCTCATCGACCTACATCGTTTGCTCCGATCGTCATCCCGCCTGCAACGGCTGCGCATCTGGACGAACAACTCTATCAGGCCACTCACAGGAACACGATGGAAGTATAACTAAAGAATACCTCGGCATTGGGGCGGTGTACTCCTCTCTCTGAAGAAAATATATATTACGTCATTGTCTCTTGAGCCAATTCAATCACATTCATTTGTCGCACACTCTGCAGGACCAGATCTTCCTTTGACATTATTCTTCAACAGGAGCTAATCAATTGTGTCCAGTTCATCACACCAAGAGCCTTCATCATGACGACCTACGTGCCCGCCCTCACCTTGCCAGATGCTGTCTTCCTCAAACCCGCTGTGTCCGTTTTGTTGCCCATCGGCCTTGGCACAGCTGTCGGACTGAGCGCCACTCGTGAGCTCCTCTTCCTCTCATGATTCTCTTTATGGCTAGAATACTGACGCGATGTTCTCCTGCCCCAGAGACTCAAAAGACGTACCTCTCATTGAAGAAGCCCTCTGTGTATCCTCCTCCATGGCTGTTCGGCCCCGTCTGGACCGTCCTTTATGGGCAAGCAAACCTCTACCACTACTCAACCCATGATGACAGTAGCTAACCATTCCTAGTGTCATGGGCTACGCCGCGTATCGAGCTGCCAACATTGGACTCTCTCCATTTTCCTCCCCTGATACCATCCGTACCGCTCGACATGCCATGACTCTCTACAGCGTCCAACTCGGCCTCAACCTCCTCTGGACCCCTCTTTTCTTTGGCCTCCACCGTCCCATTGAGGCATCGGTCGATATTATCACCCTCGTTGGAGTCAATGGCTACTTGACATACCTCTACAGCTCCATTGACTCGGTTGCGGCTTGGTGCCAGGTCCCATACCTCGGCTGGCTGAGCTTTGCCACCTACCTTTGCACTAGCATTGGATACCTGAACAACTGGGATCTGTCGGGCAAGGAAGTGCCCAAGAAGGAGTAGGAGAATACTCGAATGGATCCATGTTGTGTATGCTCAAGTAAACTTTTTGGCCTGATGCATATTCTGCACCCCATATCCACGTCAATCCCCCTCTAATCGTCTATATACCAAAATCTCATATTCAATATCCCCTCTTAGTTTTTGGAAATAATGTATACCTTCAGCTCTTGCCCCAACCCGCCCGAATTGCCAATTTACCAAAACACGTCGAAGATGTAACGCCTTGTAAATGCTCTCTATAACATCCGTCAAGTCCCCGAGAAACCTTTTGCCCTTTGCCGTGAATGATATATCGCCCTAGCAATCAAATGATGCCACTGTCTTGTCACACTATTGCACGGTGATGTATCGCTTTAGACCGTCGTAAACCATGAAAATGAAAGCAGAGCTCGGCGCTGATCGGAGGCACGTGATGCCACATCCTCGATACATGCCTCGTAGCCCATGCTGCCGCCAGAGAGCCGAGCCCTCGTTCCAGAATGTTCGTCTCTCTCGCAGGTCGCCGACAGGTGCGGTTTGCATCCGGGACTTGATGGTGTCTGCGGGAAAGAAGAGGAAGTTGTAAGACACACCAGCCGAGGCGCCTGCAACGGCTTGCTGCCAAAGAGGAAGAGGTGTGTCTAGGATCTTTTGCTTTTCAGCCTCTGAAGTTGCCTTCTTTGTCTTGGCCTGGTAAAACATGGTTGACACTGTTTCTTTGGCGCCGAACCAGGCTGAACCACCACCAGCTTCTCGGATCAGAGTTCCGAGTTGACCGTGCCAGAAGCCCCTCAGACCCTCGTGCCGGAAGACTTCCTTGATGACAGGGATCGGGCGAAGGGGGCCGCGACTGGATCCATCAAGTCCAGGTGCTTGGATCTTGCACTTGACGAGCTCAATGGGCGTGAGGACAAAAGAGGTAAATGCGCCGGAGAAAGCGCCGGTTAGCCAGAGGTCGGGCAGAGACAGTCCCTTCTCTCGCGAAGCATATCCGCTCATAAAGAACAACTCGCGACCGAGGCTCTCAAAGACAAATAGACTGCTCGTCTCAGCAGCAGCGCCCACAAGAGGAGCACTGATGCCTCGATATAGCCCTAAAAATCCATCACTCTTTATAGATTGTCGGAAACAATCCAGGGGACCGGTGTATCGTAATGGGAGGTGATCGGGTTGACTCTGTAGTCGGACCTTGACCGTGTCGAAGGGATATTCGATATACTTGCCAACAGCGCCGGCAATCTATGGGAATGTTAGTACCCGAGAAGCTTTCGGACTGCTAAACTCACCGATCCACATAGAACATCCTCAATGGCCTCTACGAGGGCCGTTTTGCCCTTGAGGGGGAACTCGGGCGAGTGGGCCGAGGCCTCGACTGCGATGGGGCTGGGCTCCATTGCGATGTTGTTAAGACCGAGGTGGAACCTAGGAAGGTGGAAATCGAAGAGGAACGGGGAGAGGAAAGGCCGAAGCCGGGAGTAGTAGGAAAGATTGGCGAATGGCGGTGTCGTGACCGATGTCCGTGTGGTATCGTTAAGTATCGGATGAGGGGCAGTTCGGCAATGAGTCGCGATGGAAGTTCAACGGTTGCACGAAAGCCAACCCAATATGGGCAATGACAACAGAAGAAAACGAGTATCGTCTGTCGAATGCGCGAATATCGGAGAAATGCCCGACGATTCAGAAGCAGACCTTAACTTTCAGGACAGCGACCACCGCAGGGCATCTTTTGTAGAAACGTAGGGGAACAGCGAGAGGGTGGGATGGAGGGCGAGTCGAGGGCTTAAGAAGCAAAGCAAGAAAAGAAAAATAGCCTGCCGGAGAAGATGGGGGTGACCTCGCAGCTACAGGGCGAAGCTTGTCCACCAGGTCAGGTCACGACACGTTTCGGTGCGCTAGGCCTTGCGACGTTAAAAAAAATCACCGCGCCCTGTGCTGCGAGTTCCACGACGATGAGCGTTGGGTGCAGATGAAACTACACCAGAAGTGAGTTGCGCAGCCGGGGCGGCCCCCCATCCCGTGGATCTTCGAAGCAGAGCAGAAAATTCTACTTATCGACCCGGCATGTGACATCAGGACCTCCGCTTTTCGCTCAAAGACTGCCCAATTGCGTGCGGCAGAGGTTTTATCTGATCGACCGTGCGCGGGCTTAAGGACGCCAAGTTCAGGGACCCCGACTCAATTGAGCTGGCGTTATGGAGGGGTCGGAGGAGATGAGGGGCTTTGGCGTGGCTCTCGGAGTGGTTCCTGAGCTCCAACGGATCCGTTCGTACCGTTGATGATCCTGGAAAGCACCGCGAAACCCTGGCAAAATTGCAACCTTGGAACGAGTCTTTTAGCGTCCTGCATCTTGATCGACTGATTGATTAGATGGCCACTCCGGTGTCCGGTCCAGGCGCCATCACGGTGCTGTTCGTGTTAGTGCTCACAAAGAGAACCAGGTGCTAACCGACCAGGGTTTGACCCGTTGTTCGGGTCGATGGAGCAGATTTTTTACCCTTCTGTGTAGCTGACGTGCTCAATGGGCATCGTGGCTCTATAACTCGACATCATAGGCTTTGTGATCCGTGATGATGTCCAAGCAATGGATCGCTCAAAGACCAACTGCGAGCTTAAGGACGACAGCCACACACCGTCAAGTCCTTAACGTGGATCTAGGGTCCCATCCCTAAACTTTCAGCTTACCAGGGCGGCAACACGTCCGTGGGGGAGAGGGTCACAAACGGCAAGCCAAATGCCGTGATCGGTAATTCCATGTGTTGTTGGTTTGCGCGAATTCGGTACCTGCGACGGCTTCACCCGTCCCACGGGTGGGATGCAGAGCTAGGCTCATTTCAGGAACGTGGGATCCAACGTGGTGGATTTGGGGGTCGCCACGTGAATTGAGGATGAATGACCGGCAGCGGCATTAATGTTTTTCCATTGTCTGCATGGTGGGGTCGAGGGGTATCGCGTGGGACGCGACCAGACGCGTCTGCATGTTTAATTGATTTCATCCCGTCTCTTTGTAGTGGACATCGTCGACCCTTGACTCCCAGTTCAACAGTTGACAACTATTTCTGCCAAAATGACTGCCTCACAAACCCCTTCCACTGGAAAGCCTTCCAATGGCTCAAGTTCCTCCGTCAACCGCGAGGAACATCAATATTTGGATCTCGTAAAAGAAATCCTAGAAACCGGTGAACGTCGGCCAGACAGGTAAGAAAGAAACAGTCTTCAATGACCGGCATCGTTCTGACAACATTTACAGGACTGGTACAGGCACATACTCCATCTTTGCCCCTCGACCCCTGAAATTCGCCCTCAACAACAACGGCACCCCAATCCTCCCCCTCCTCACCACCAAGCGCGTCTTTACCCGCGCTGTCATCGCCGAGCTCCTCTGGTTCGTCGAGGGCAACACATCCTCCACCAGCCTCAGCGAGGCCGGCATTAAGATCTGGGACGGCAATGGATCCCGCGAGTTCCTCGACAACCTCGGCCTCAACCACCGCGAGGTCGGCGACCTCGGCCCCGTGTACGGCTTCCAGTGGCGGCACTTTGGCGCTGAGTACGTCGACGCCAAGACGGACTACACGGGCCAGGGAGTCGACCAGCTCGCCGAGATTATTCACAAGCTGCGCACCAACCCATATGATCGTCGTCTGATCCTTTCCGCCTGGAATCCCGCCGACCTGAAGAAGATGGTCCTCCCACCGTGCCACATGTTTGCCCAGTTCTACGTCTCCTACCCCCGACGAAAGGATGGCGACCCCGAGACCAAGCCTCAAGGCCATCTACACTGTCAGCTCTACCAGCGATCTTGCGACATGGGCCTAGGCGTTCCATTCAACATTGCCAGCTACGCATTGCTGACACACATGATGGCGCATGTCTGTGAATTGGTACCTGGCAGCCTCACTCACGTCATGGGCGACGCACACGTCTATCTTGACCATGTCGAAGCCCTCAACACGCAACTGGAGCGTGAACCCCGCGACTTTCCAGAGCTGGAAATCACCCGAGAGAAGGGCGGTAGCATTGATGGGTGGAAAGCGGAGGACTTTGTCATCAAGGGCTATGACCCTCACAAGACCATTGCCATGAAGATGTCCGTTTGAGAATTTGTATGAGACTATGTGAATTGTCTACGCTGGAAGGATATGGGTTTGGCCGATTGCTATAAGGATAGAAGGCGTTAGGATAAAGTTTTAGCACACAAGAACCCTGTTTTAGATTTGACAGCTTAATATTTTGCGTCCGTGCCATCTCCGATTTTCTGATATCTGAGCATCCATCGTACGAGGTTCATAGGCTTATCAACCAAAGCTCGATTTAGGGGCGGATCCCCAGGTCGGTCTTGATCAGAGGGGTCCGGAGTCAGCGGGGGCAGTGCCCCTATCCATATCTCGGGTTCATCATGTTTTAGGATCAAGTATCCAGTTGAGTGCAAGATGGCCAAAGAATGAAGTAATGTGGTGTATGGATCAATATATCACAACTATATTCATACATATACTTGCTGCTAGTCATGCAGGTGTATCCAACGATATAGACATGCATCAAAAGTAGCACATACACGCAGTGACGCTGCCCAAGACATGATGGCAGTTCATGCAATTTTCGTCCCCAAAGCGAGTGCTATCCGCAAAGAGCCCCTTTACTGCTTCTTCTTAGTGGCCTTGCTGGGAGAGCCCTCCTTCTTAGCAGCAGCCTCCTTGGCGTCAGCAGCGGCAGCGGCGGCAGCATCATCTGCCTCCTTCTTCTCGGCATACCATTGACCAGCCTGGAGAACGAGGATTCCGACCAGGACGAGAGCGAGAATGGTGTTGCTAGCAGAGAGAACCTTCAGGCTGTCCTCGCGACCAAGGATGAGCTCGCCATTCTCGCCCTCGTGCGTCTTGCCGTCGAAGCCATCGTCGGTCCAAATCTCGGCGCTGACGCTTCGCAGAGCCTTGACAATGTTGGCAACGTAGACACCGAAGCCGATGAGGTAGAGAATGAGAGAGGCGCCGTCAAAGAGGAAGTTGGCCTCGCTGGGTCGGAAGAGCTTGATGAAGAAGCCGAGGAAGCCGACAGAGATGATGATGTGCAGGATGCGACTGATCAGCGGCGGCGATTGGTGGACAAACTTCAAATGCGTCTCTAGATGATCAAAGAAGTTTTCGGGAATGGGCGCCTTGGTCCAGAGAAGAGGAAAGTCGTAAGGGAAGGAAGCGAAAAGGACGCCGAGGAAGAAGCAGACGGCTAGGGCACGAGTCAGCGCGGGGAAGAGGACGTAAGATCATGATCGCACGAGGAGGCACTCACGGGCGATGATCATAAAGGTCGCAAAAGAACCAGTTCCCTGGTAGTTCTTGGACCGGGTGGTCTTGGACCAGTCGATGAAGGAGCTCATGATGGAGGAGGGAGGGGTTTGAAAGGCGAAGCGAGGGCCGAGATCTGTCGCAAAGTGCGGAGGCGGGAATGCACAGCGTAGGAGGAAGCGCGTATGTGCCTGAGCGATTAGAATGTGTCGCCAAGTGTCAACGACCTCGTTGACAAACTGTCGCGATAGAAGAAAAGAGTTGTAGAGGGGAGAAAGTGGGAGAAGGATGAGGAGAAGAGGAGACAAAGTAGGTGATGGAGCCTCGCAGATAATTGAGGAAGGCGGGAGCAAGTACCTTCCACTTTGGTGGTAGACCGGGGAAGCCCTGAAGTACCTTACCTGTCCTGACTGCGACTGCACCCGACCTCAGCTTTCTCGTCAAGTGGGCAGCGAGCGATAGTGAATGGAGAACCGCTGAAGGATTAACCAGGTTGCCCAGTATTTGTGGGGTTTGTGACTGGTTGCTAGGCTCTTGACGGCTCCACAAACCGGGCGAGGTTTAAATTGGCACGAGAGCATTGGCCTGAAGATTCACTCTGTGGAGAGAGAGAATGGGCCTTTCTAGAAGCTGCACGGATCAGTTCAAGAGTTTATTGATATGAGTTGGCTGATATGATATAATGGCTTGACTGATAGTCCATGGCGTCTCCGTAGATAAGGTGTCAAGACGGAACCGGCTGACCTTGAAGCCACTTGATCAACTACAGTGGCTGTCTCTTCCGTCTCATGTCTCACATATAACCCGGTTTAGGAACTGCATAGTAATGGGCGTCTTTTCCAATGGATGAAACGAGGTGATCTTCTCCAGTTAGAAGTGTAGACCAACCCTCGGGCAACCCGTTGGCTAAATCCGTCACTTCCATTCCCTTCATTCCTGTCAACGCGTGCCGCGTATAGGATCCTCCGCCACCAAACATGGACGAAACTTTAAGAAAAGATGTAAAGAGATTCAGCCTACCCGAAAAAAAAAGTCTTCTCTCCTTTTGTTCCTATCCCCTTTGCCGTATTGTCTCCCAGTGGTGGTGTAGCACTGTTCTGTGCCGTCATTCGTCATCTGCTGTGCTTGTTACAATCATTTTGCAACACCTCCGCTAACTCGGCTTCCACGCTCCTTGCCAATATTGTTGAAAATGTCGAGACTACCGCCTTTCATTATTGCTATCCTATTTCTCCTCATCGGCCACGTCACATCTCTTACCATCCGAGATTCCGGGAGCCAAGACCCAAAGATCTATAAGGAGTCCAGCAAGTACAAATACTATGGCTGCTACAACGAGACGACCGACATCAAAGACTCTGCTGAGGAACGTGCCCTCACCGGTGGTACCCATCTTGTCAAAGCGGGCAAGATGACGGTACCTATGTGTCTCGAATTTTGCACTTTCAATGGCACCGAGTATGCATTTGCTGGACTTGAATGGTCACGGTGAGCAGCTTCACTGCTAGAGGTTGACGTTCTTGACTAACATACTTCTCCAGGGAATGTTGGTGCGCCCCGTATCTGTCTGCCCTTTCAGAGAAGCTTCACGACGATAACTGCACGAATCCATGTGAGGGAAACTCTTCTCAAGTCTGCGGTGGTCCATTAAAGTTGAGCGTATACGAGTTGTCAAAAGGGGGTGATGCACCAGACTCGGCAGCCATAACAAGGGCACCATGGCTATTGTTACTCACTGCCGTATTGGCTGCATGGTTCTTTTAAGATCAGAGATAAAGGTCGAAAAAACCTCGACTTGTATAAAAAATATAGAACAGCAATGTCTAATAATAAAGGGGTATACCGTCATGTCTATCCTGTCATTCACGATCCTGACTTACACCATTACCTTGGTCATAATCTTTACAACTTCAGAGGAGCCATGCCTCGCTGCTTGACTGCACCCTGAACAGCATCCTTGACACTCTGAACTGACCGTCTCCAAGACTCCTGGCCTCTTCCATCTCGGCCATCTTGTTCCACAATCACATCCAACCACTTGACCAACTTGGTTGCCTTCTCCAAGTCGCGCTCTTCCTGAATCACTCGCACAAGAAACTTTTCCAGAACTTCAACATCTCTCCGGTGAGGCCCTTCCTTCCTCGTCTCGCCATGCCATGCGTCTAGCATGTCTTTGACCTCTCGAGTAGAACTCACCCCTAAACCTGGAAACGTGACCTTGCGTGGCACTGGGGCGAACTGAATTCTACGCTGGCCACCTGGTAGTAGCCCCTCAGGGTCGGGAGTATTGTGCATCCGCGAAGGAGCATCAAGCCCTGATTGTTGGGCCAGTTTCCGGCGCCGATGATCAGCAATTACTTCTTTTCGCACGTCTTCTGGTAGTTCCGAGAGGAACTCTGGGTCGAGTTCTTCGATTTCCTCCTCGAAAGCGTCACCCACAGAAGCCGCAGCTCGGGGGTTGGTCTGCATCAGACCAGCTTGGACATCCTTTTGCCGCTGAGCCTTGCTAAACAAGCCTCTCGCACCACCTCGTTTCGTAGGTGTACTGGGCTTCTTTGGCTGGACAGTGCGGTCCTTCCTGGGGGACTGACGTGGCGTGGTCTGCCTTGGCTGTTGCCCGAAGGTAGCGAGAACCTCAGCCTTCATATCATCGGGCAGTGCATTGAACACCTCAGGATCGACTTGGGATGGCATCATGTCGAGCGGCATCGGGCTCTGGGACCTCGACTTCGATGCGGGAGACTCAGCGCGAACCTCGGCTGTTCTAGACTTTTGTGCCATGAGTTTACTGCGGATGTCACTCGGCAGCTCCGCAAGGATCGAGGGATCTGCGTTGCTTGGGATGATAAACTGAGTCCCGGAAATATTGAGAGGAGTCTTTGCTTTCGCATCATCTTGACTGGCCCTCGCAAGGGCCATGGCAGGGTGTATCCTTTGCTTTCGAGGTGTCAAGGGATCATCCGCAATCGGGTCCAGGTGGACCTCGCGACTTGGTGTACTCTTTGGCTTCTCTGGGCTGTCCATCTCATCAATCTGCTCTGTCGTAGAAGGCTTCCTGGCCGGAGACGGTTTTGCAAAAGTAGCAAAGACAAGCTTCTTCTGACTTCCATCCGGTGCCCCTGCATTCGCTTTGATAGCTTCGAGTTTCGTCATTTGTACTCCGAGCCCACGAAGATCACCGGGACTGAACTTGAAGGACCGCAGTACTGCAATGGCTTCCTTGCCAATGGTTTGATAGTTGTTGGTGGGAACACCAAAGGTGATGCTTTTGTTGAAGGTATCGCATTTGCCGTGACCTAGATGCTTGGCTGGATCAAGAGGCGCATCCATCGACCTTCTCATGATCTTCATGGTCAACTGCTTGCCCTTGACCTGCTCGTTCAAGAGTCGCCTTTCGAGTTCTTTGCAGAGGTTATATATAAACTCCTCGGCCTCTGCTTGGTTGACAAATCGAATGCCCCAGCTGACTTCTGCTGAAACCGATTTGCGTGGTGGTTGCTCTCCGACCTCCGTTTGGTCGATACCACGGGCGTATTCCCAGAGCTTTTCGCCCGTCTTTGGGCCAAGCACTGTTGTTAGACGCTCTTTTGATAAATCTCGCATGTCTTTGACGTGAACGATACCGATTTCTTCGAGTTTCCCACCAATACTCCGAGCGACTCCAGGGAGCTGCTCAACTTTCAGGTCTCCAATCAGATCAAGCAGCTCCTCCGGTTTCACTTGGTACTGCCCTGCGGGTTTCGCTTTCCTCAGAGCTACTTTGGCTTGTAGGATATTTGCGCCAATTCCAACGGAAACATGACAGCCCGTCTGCGACTTGACCTTTTCACGAAGGTCTCTGGCAAGGCTGTCTGCCATATCTCGTTCTCTGCCGATGTTCCCACCGTCTTGTCCAGTGCCTTGAGAACCGGTATTCGTCATTACGATGGAAGTGATATCGACTAGAGCTTCATCAATGCTGACGCTTTGTACCAAGCCGCCTACGCTCATGATCGATTCATAGAACTGGCGGCTTGCTTCTTCGTACGCTGGAAAGTCGTATGGCAGGACCTTCAAGTTGGGGCACTTTTCAAGCGCCGACTTCATCCACATGCCATTCTTGACACCGAATTCTCTGGCTGGATAGTTGCAGCTTGCGATTTCGGATCCTGATCCTGTGCTGTGTGCGACAACTGTCGGTTTATCGATGTACTCGGGGTTCTTTTTGAGGGAAACCGCACAGAAGAAGCTGTCAAAGTCGACATGCATTACATATCGTCTTGAGCCAGGCCGTCTCTTGACCTTGACACCTGAAAGACCCTTTTCTGCAGCGAGCCGCTGCATCTTCGACTTTAGCTCTGCTTTCCAGGTGGAGAGATGGTGTAACCGGCTCTCCGAATAGAACTGTTTCAAGAAATCGGGGTTGGCGGTTGACGACTTTCGTAACCGAGGATCAGACAGCAACCATGCATTGTGCTCCTCTGAAGTCATTGGTTTTGATGTGTCTGGGGCTTTGGTTTGCTTTGCAGACACAGAGGGACTGTCTGCTACCGCCGCACCTAGGTCCTCTTCAGCAAACCCAGCATCTTTCGACCCTGGTGGCAACGCTTCTCGTGATAATCGCCCCAGAGGCGTGCTTAGCCTCTCAGAAGATGGACTATCGGTATCCATTGTGTTTGGCGTAATAGGCGGAACACCGGCTGGTGGCCGTACTGGAGTTTGCGCCTTTTCGGCAAGCTCACTGAGCGCCTGGCTGGGTAGTGATGCGGCTTTAAGCTGGTTGGTGTAAAAGCTGCCGTCCGTCTGTTCCCGGTAGCCCTGTTTTGGACGGGGAGTTGATTGCGTGAGACCGCTACTGCTGTCGAACTTGAGTACCTTTTGTCTAGGTCCTTCGTCCAGGACACGATAATTTGACCAAGGGAGGAGCTGCCCGGCCTCGATTGACTCCATGATCCATGTGGGCTTGACAATCCGGTATCGACTAAAGTCGACGGACTTTTTGGGAGGCAGTGTTGAGGCAATGATATGAGTTGCCATAGTCTTGGAGTCCAAATATTGAAGGAATCCACCGCCATGCTGCACAATCTCGCGATGAAGACTATGTTCTGTGAGCTTCACTCAGAATAGGAGTTATGGGCTATCACCTACACATGCAAAGGTGGTTGAGTGTAGCCAGTGACGTGTGCGACGATGCCTTTGAAGATCTGAGGCTTGTCTGATGACTCGCGGATGTCGGCATCTAGATTTTGGAGTTTGATCTTCTTGCGCCTAAAGTAGTCGCCGAAACCATTGAAGGAACTGGCATCGTACTCCTCTCCGCCTTCATCATCAAAGGTGTGAGATTCAATGCGCTTCCTCACTTGAGAGGAGTTTTTATCGAGAACGCTCCCCATCTTGAACCTCGTGATGCGATAAAAGCCTGGCGACTGAGTTCAGGTTGATGTTGGTGGGTAGGGGTGCGCGCCTCGATTGTGGGTGGTGCTCATGCTTTGCCTCAAGATTTGCCCTGCCTTCACATGGAGCTCTCGCGAAATGAAGGCATATGGAAAAGCTTGACAACCATGATAATGCGACTGTTCCTTGATGAGCACGTGTTCGTCATGGAGGTCGGTGAAGCTCTCAGTTACATGGAGAGCTGATGCGTGAGTGATGTTGACCGCGTAAAGTGGAGCACGTGGACGCGCCTTTGAACACGACAACCCGTGACCTGAGTCTGCTGCGCCACATGTGTCAGCCACAGATCGCAAGGCTGAACACCAGTTTCCATTCATCACTTTGCTGCTGTCAACCCAGCCTCTTTTTGGTTTTAGCAACTCTCTCGTTGCTCTTTCGCTGCTATGAATAACGAACAGTTCCGGAAGCTTATTCACGCAAACTCGAAAAAGAGTTCTGCTAGCAAAGATGGCGCATCTACGGCCGCATCATCTACTCCTGGTGGGAGTGCGCTGGGTTCGCGCCAACGATCGAGTATCCCAATGACACCGTGAGTGGCTTCAATTTTGTTCTTATCAACTTGCTGACGCGATAATGATAGACGCTCTCTAGGGGGTGCCCAAGCCGATTTTGCGCGACAGCTCGCCGAGCGAAACCAGGCGACGCGACCTCAGAAGAAATTCAAGTCTTATGATCCCAAGGGCGTCAAACTCGCCTCTGGATACGTCGATCGATCGAAAGAACGCGAAGAAGACGCAGAAGATGATCGCGCCGAGAAACTTAAGGAGCTTGAACAACAGCTCAAAGATGAGGAGATTGACCAAGAAACCTTTGAAAAGCGACGATTCGAGATTGCGGGCGGAGATCTAGGGAGCACCCATCTGGTAAAGGGCCTCGACTTTAAACTACTAGAGAAGATTCGGCGCGGAGACGATATTTATGGGGAGAATAAGGAAGAACCGGACCAAGAAGCTGAGCCCGAGCTGGACGTCGACGATGAATTCGATCAACTTGAAGGGCAGGAAGTTCAAGCTGTCGCCAAGGAGAAGACCGAAAAGAAGAAGGGTCAATTATCGACAGTATCCCTTGCGCCTGGGAAGAAGCGAACCCGAGATCAAATTCTGGCCGAGCTGAAGGCATCAAGAGAGGCAGCCAAGGCGCAGCAGGAAAATGCTCTGGGAGACAGGTTCAAAAAGATTGGAGCAAAGCAGAAGGCCGGATCACGAATAGAGCGTGACAGCAAAGGGAGAGAGGTGTTGATCATTGTGGACGAGGACGGGCACGAGAAGCGCAAGGTCCGCAAGATTCAACCCGGGGATGAGAAGGAAGCCGAGGCTAGTAGGGCTGGTCTCTTAATGCCGGACAAGGATGCAAAGCCGCTTGGAATGGAAGTTCCGGAGGAATACCGCAAAAAGGAAGAACCAGAAGAGGAGGAAGACGTTGACATCTTTGAGGGAGTAGGTGACGACTACGATCCGCTGGCAGGCATGGATGGATCAGATTCAGACGATGAGAAGTCGAAGAAAAAGAAGGGAGACGAAGATGAAGAAGAAGGCGAAGTTGCCGACAATTCTATGCCTCCACCACCGAAGCCTCAAGCACCAGCTGCACCACGGAACTACTTCCAGGGCGCCAGGACTGGCCTTGTATCTGAAGAACAGAGCAAAGCGCCGTCAATGCCGGATCCAGCCATCATGGCAGCCATCAAGCGAGCAGCTGCTATCAACCCTATCAAGAAGGACAAGGGCGATGCGGATTCTGATGAGGAGGACCAGGATGAAGATGCGCGAGCCAAGGCGATGGACGAGCGACGCAAGAAGCTCCTCCAGATGGCAGATCGTGACGATGAAGATCTCGACATGGGCTTTGGTACCAGTCGTTTTGCTGATGAGGAGGACTTTGAGGATAGCAAGGTCAAGCTCTCGAACTGGGGCGAGGAGGATGATGACGGTGAGAGTAAAGCTCGAGGTGGACCATCAAAGCGAAAACGAGGACCGAAGAAGCGAAAGGGCGACGCCAACAGTGCCGCCGATGTGTTGCGGGTTATGGAGCAGCGGAAGAAGTCATGATGGAGTTGTGTGTCATGAAACATCCCATGCATGGCGTGGCTAATAACAGGCCAGCTAGATTGGCGCATCTTGAGCATCCCCGCATAATACCCGTCCATACTGCCAGTGCCATGTATCAATCCGTCATTGGTAACATCTAAGACTCAATCAGCAGTTACTGTAATCCTAACTTGATGCTATCAGTCGAGTCAGTGGACCACGTTGGGCGTGCACTGTTGCACAAAAGGCCTTTGTTTGCTTGGAAGACCCAGCGAGCGATAGGACAAGTGAGGGGCAAACCCCACCATAAGCTCCGTCAGATTGAGAAGGGAAGGTGAAGAGTGCCCCTGGTCTGATGAAACGTCGCAACTCCAACTTAATCTAAGAAACATATGGTTGCGTGTGAACAAGATATCCTCTCTTTCTCTTAGATACACTTGCTTCCGTGACTTTCGTTCTATTTACCTACCCGTCTTCACCCGCCTCATTCTTATCACCTAGAACCATGTCCGAAGCTCAGATCCCCGTCTGGCTGGACTGCGACCCAGGCCATGATGTACGTATAAGCTGCCATGGGCATCTCAGATCGAGCTGGGTTGCGGCCTGGTATCGAGATAAGCGACAAAGATTCAGTTGCATTCTTGCTCCCCTGGCACTCGCTTCTCGGTGGCGTCCATCTTGTCTGAGTGACCAACCACTAACAACCTCGCAGGACGCTTTCGCCATCCTTCTCGCTGCGTACCACCCCAGCATCAGACTGCTCGGCATCTCAACCATCTTTGGCAATGCACCTCTTGAGTACGTCCTTGGGCTTTACGTCGGAGCAACGAAGGCTTCACTCACAATTCCTCATCTCCTAACCTGTCCTTATCGCGCAGAAACACTACTCACAATGCCGCCTCACTCCTCACCGCCATCGGCAGGTATGACATCCCACTCTACGTCGGTCTAGACAAGGCCCTGGAGCGCCCTGCCATTCATGCGCCAACAGACATTCACGGCGACTCTGGCCTCGACGGTACCGATCTGCTCCCCAAGCCACTTGTCTCGCCCTCTTCCGTCCCGGCCGTTGAGGCCATGGCGGAGGCCCTGCGCGCCGAGGCCGCCGGCACCGCATGGATCGTCGCCACCGGCGCCCTGACCAACGTCGGTGCCCTCTTCCGCAAGTACCCGGAGCTCATCAGCCATGTCAAGGGCGTGAGTCTCATGGGTGGCTCCATCGGCGAGGGATTCTCGGATGCGCCCCTCGGTGAGGTTGACGGCCACCCCAGAATCGGCAACTACACACCCTGGGCCGAGTTCAACATTCTCGTCGACCCAGAGGCTGCCGCGACAGTGTTACATACCAAAGAGATCGCGGCCAAGACCACGATTGTGCCGTTAGATCTGAGCCATCAGGTGCTGGCAACTCCTGAGGTGAGAGAGATGCTCCTATACGGGCCCGAAGCCGAAAAGACCGGACCCGGAAAGACAACTCTGCGTACCATGCTTGTTGAGCTTCTGTACTTCTTTGCGCAAACATATGCGTAAGTCAAGTTCCCATGATACTCGTACGACTTGAAATTGACAATCACAGTGACACCTTTGGCATCACCGCTGGACCTCCCCTGCATGATCCCATAGCCGTTGCCGCTGTGCTGATTGGCACCGAGAACGAAATCCCCTTCTTCGAATGGGATGCCAAGCACAGCGAGCCTCCGAAGCACGATGAGCGATTCGAGGTGACTGTCATCACAGAGGGTACCTTCGATGAGGCCAAGGCAGGAAAGCAGACGGGACGCACGTTGGCCAAGCTTCTTCCCCCAGGAGAAGAGGGTGTGAGGATTCCTCGCGGAGTCGACACTGCCAAGTTTTGGCAGGTTATTGAGGAGTGCATTGAGCGAGCCGACGCAAAGAACGCCGAGCTTAAGAGCGCCAACTAAAGAGACGGATAAGACAAGAAATGGAGGATCGTATTGCGCAAGCATTGGGTATGATTGATGGCTATCATGATGACTCTATGAGATTACTTTTTGTCTATAATTCTTCCCGAATGACCGCTTCGGCGCCTGAATTCCAACCAAGCATGAATTGCATCGTCTGCTCATAAGTCCAAAGAGTGACAGCGCTCGCCGGCGCCGCCTTGATGAGGCTGATAGGCAGGCCCTTGTAAAGACCGCGAAAGCCCTCGGTTCGCAGGATAGATCGAATCGCTCCCCGCGCAGTTGAATATTCCGGTATGTTCTCATACACGTATCGATTTCGAGATGGACCCTGGACTTGGATACGTTTCCGCACCAGGTCGAGGGGGAACACGGCCGTCTTGGCTAGAATACTAGCCATCATACCCGCGGTAGCATCTCCGCTACCCCAAGGCATATGCAAGCCTTCTAAGGAGGTCCTTAGAGATTCGTATGAGACGAAAAAGAGGCCCATGAAAGGCACAATCTGGCCGAGGCCAGGTCCAATGCCCCGAAAGAACCCCCTCCAACCCTCGTCACGTTGAATATCCCAGATAGCGCTTCTCAACGACCGGTAAATGCGATGACGTCCTTGAGCCGCGAACCGTGTTCTCAACAAGTCGAGGGGATATGTAACACCGGTTGCAGCAGCACCGGAAGCGGCACCGGCGATAAAGCTCTCGGCGGCATCGGGTAGGCGTGTCGGGAATGCGGTTTGGAGAAAGACGGTCGTCGAGCGATAGGTTGTGAACTGAACTGCGCCGTAACATACGTATAGCAATTCGGCAGGGACGTTTCCCTTCCACAGGCCTGTGATTCCTTCATGCTTGAGGATGTGTTGTAGAGTCGCAAACGCTCCTCGGTATGCGGGAGCTTCGCGCAAAGGTGCGAGGGGATCGGAGAGGGAGAAAGGTTGAAGTTGGAGGCGGATCTTGACGACGTCGAGGGGAGCGACGACGAAGCTAGATAGCATTAATCAGCCTTTACTTATTCGACTGGCGGGAGCTGGCGAGGACTTACCGAGAGACCAGACCAGCTATCGCACCCGCAGACACAGTCTGGAGTCTGGAGCCCTGATCACCAAGTCAACTTCTGTTAGAGGAAGCGTAAAACTGGCATATCTACCTCATCCTTGAGGTGGCCTTCTTTGTGCGACATTCGCGCGGCCTAGGCCCTGTCGGACCGTGGCTCTGCGCAAATAGATCAATGGACGGTACGGGTATTAAGAGCGCTCTGCAATATGTGCAAGCGATCCGAGCAACGAGCGATGATGCTGGTGATGAAGAGTTGTCGAAGTTGCTGAGGACGATGTCCCAGAAGACCTGAAAGTTACTGATAAGGGTCGAAAGATGACCGAACAAAGGGACGTCGGGGTAATTGTGCCGAAGCGGAAGGAATGCACGAGACGGCTAATATGTGGCGGGTAAATATCGTGAATTATTAGATGAAGCAATACATGACAGCTGTGATGAATGCCATGCAGAGTTCAAAGCCTAGTAAGATGTTTTTTGCATGTTTGTGTTGTTGAGGCCGTCATCGTCACGGGAATTGAAATCCGTGGCCACCTGCGCCGAAAATTTCAGTGTCACCCGCCCGCTCACTCCGACGATTCAGTGACGACATGGTCACTTCAGAGTGGACGGGTGGAGGCGGCTGTAGGCGGTGCACTCGGTTGTCTTGTCTTGATCTCGATGGAAGCAGGCATATCTCTCGCTCTTAGAGGCAGAGCGGCCTCCCAACCGGACAAGTCAAGTCGGACATGTATCTTCAAGCCATTTTTTTTTCATGTTGAGGTCCGATGGCGGCTGTTGGGGGGGTTTAATATCCATCGATCGCTCGTAAGCCCCTGCACCGGACCGAGGTTGAGATCTCTAGAACGAACCCTGCATGCAGGTCTCAAGAAATACTTGTGCTACCGTGTACTAAGAAAGGAGGGCAGTCAGAATAAAACCTTCATTCTGTACAGAGGCTTGTGCCAAAGTCACACGATGCTTTTATGTCAGGTTCCTAACTGAGTGGACCTTTTTGTACACGGGCTAACCCTGCAAGGCTGGGCGATTTGAAAGCGTCGCGAAGCTCCACTAAACTCGGGCCGCTGGAACCAACCAATTTCAGCAGATGTTGGCGTTGAATCTCTCAGTGAGGCAAGTGAAGCAGGCGAGGCACAGTGAGGCACAGTAGAGGCTGGAGGTGTTTTTCCATCTACTTGAAGTAACGACAACTCAATGATAAACGCATTGGCTCTATAGAGTCGCATTTCAATTGATTAAGAAAATAGTCACTTTTTAAACACAACAACAAGCCTACAACATAAAAGCAGCATAGCTCAACCGGTGACGGCACCACGTGGGGCTTCTTCAACCGTCGCGTCTACGTACCTACAGTACCCCACGAACTGTGGTCCTCCTCCTCAGCCTCACTGCACCCCTCAATGCGTTAGCTTCCATTGCTCCGAGTCCCTGAAGGCCGGAATTTCAACTGGGAGGTTGCTTTCTCCGGCGTTCCCATTGGCTGGCCCGCCGGTACTCGCTGTAATTCAGTCCCAGCCCGCACACACGGACGATATCCCGGGGCCGGAGCCTAGAACTAGAACAACTGGAAGGCACGTCACTTGATGGCAACTGCCCGCTGATGCAACTTGCCGCATCTCCGATCCTCTACCTTCTGCTCCCGGCTCTCTTCCTCCCTCTTTATTAACCTCCCTCTCCCGCACTCTTCTCCCTTATCTCTCATCCATATTTCATCCCCTTTCCCCTTCAACTTGTCTTACTCGGAACGACTCCATCAAATCCTTGTCCGTCCTCTTTGCACGTGTTGGCGAGGTAGCTCCTTGGATAGCTATCCACCACATCGCCGCGGTCCGACCGAAGCGACGGCACAGAGTTACACGTGAAGCCTGGCCACCTGGTTCGAACGATCACGATCTCGATCTGTTATTGCGACGACCGAACGAGGCATCGCTGCCACCATAACACCCGACGACTCCCAGCTTGCACCACCAAGCTCTTTCTCGAATCCGCCACAGACTCTCACAATGGCTACCACCCCAGTTCCTCCTCCAGACACTGCGCAGCTTTTGGCACCATTTCTCCCTGCCATTCCACCAGCCGCGATCTCGAAGCAGCCAGCCATTGGCATTCTGCCTCTCTTATCTCCCATCCTTCGCCAACGAGTCAATATCCTGTCCTCCTCAAGTACCGAGCCATGGCTGCGCCTTCTCTGCTACGACACGTCCAAGGTGCCTGAGCTTACCCAGATTGCCCAGGGCGGCAGTCTTGAGCCTCACCCTGTATCTGGAGAGGTCGAGGTAGACTGGGATTATGATGCTGAGATCCGCTATCGCCGGGTCGACCAAGAGACTCTGCAGGCTTTGGTCGCCCTCTCCAATCTTGGCCTGGCGTTTCAGCTCGTCTACTGTGTAGGCGACCAAGAAGGCGGCGGTGACGGGTGGAGGGTTGGCGAGGTGACTACCGCGGACAAGCCTTCTCCGTTCTCGCAGTTTGGCGGTGTCTCCAACATTGCAGAGGCTGAGCGCCAGTTTGAAGAGGCCCAAGCCAAGAAGGCGGCCAAGCAAACAACTAGTGCGACCAGCCACAGCCACAGTTTACACGTCCCGAATGGCGGTCTTGAAGATGAGGACGACGACGACGATTACTGGGCACGATATGATGCAACACCTGCTCGCACACCCGCCCAGAAGCATTCACCCGCTCCCCCATCCATGCCAACTTCTCAAGCTGGGGACCACCATACGTCTTCAGCCGAGGACGCATACTTTGCGCAGTACGACACTGTCCAGCCCGCCATGGACAATCACGATCCTGACGAGGAAGAGGCGGCAAAGCAGATTGCTCCACCCCTTGGGCTTGGACGGGTCGTGACGCACGACTCTGCCGAAGCCACAGAACTTAACGAGACACAAGGGGCATGGACACTGGCCGAGCTTGACAAGAGTGATTCAAGCCCAACCCGAAGCGGGGATGACTCTGAACGCCACGCTGCTCTCTTGCACCCGCGCCCAGCCTCGAGCGCCAGCTCCAACGGGTCGGAAACGGTCGCCAAGCTTGAAGCCTCAGCCGGCAAGCAGGAACAGAACGAGTTTGGCGTTAAGCAGCATGTCTCGCGTAGCATTCGCAGTCTGTACATGCTTGCCCGCGCCTCGGGTATCGATCGTCAGGAGTTTGAACGCATTATCCATACCGAGCTCGACGTTCTCGGTATGGTGGAGGATCACGATTGAACATCCAATGAAGGGAATATGACAAATGCCAGCGACTTTTTTTTTGCTATTTGGTGTATGAAATGAGTGGCAAGGTGGGGAGTCATGGTTGAGAAATCTTAGTCTGCATGTAAGGCGTTATCATGGGCATACGATTGGGGACAATTCCAGTCAAGGCGATATGAGTTTTTGCACGGTTTTTGGGACATGCATTGGCAAGGTCTTGGATACGGCTATTGGGCTAGTGTGTACCTCTTGAAAGAATGAAACAAATTTGAAATGTGAATCACACAGATGGTCATATATGATTTGCCCTACAAAGTTGGTCAACCCCATTCTACAAAACACAACGATCTATCGGGTGTGACCCTGTTGGACCTTGATACATTCGGGTATGTTTGTCAAGAAGCACAGCAAGCTGCGGAAAGCAGGTATCATATTAAATCATGATTGAGTGACAGGACTTGTTTCATCAGTACAAAAGACTTTCAAGTAGATCCAAACTCCGATCCAACAACCCTTTGTGTGTGGATAACTCAAAGAGAACTCCATAGTACCGTCCCAAACGAACGAGCACCTGAATGCTTAAAAAACAAACATACCATCCACCTTCATACTCGTCCACCATCAATCTTATGCTCATGTATTATGAATGCTCATAGAGTAAAGCTCGTGACGGCATCAGGCAATCACGAGGTTTTCCAGAGCAATACGAGCAGTCTCCAGGACCCTGACGCAGGTGCGTTGCTCTGGCGTGCATGGCTTCGAAGGGTAGATGACACCAGACACTCCGTCATGCGGGTGACCAGCAGCTATGAGGGCATCCAAGATTTCATGGCGCTTGCGACTCCGTTCCTCGAGCTGTTTGACGACATCTCTGAGTCCCGGGTGCGTAAATCGCTGGCTCTTCGGTACGTTCGAGCCCGTTCCGTCCATTCCGTAGACATCGAAGCGGAGGAGCCCGCGAATGGTAAGCCTCCACATATCAGGCTCCATGTTCTTGTTGTTGTAATTCTCAATGACAGGACATGAGCCGCCATTGTCGCCGATACACCCCCATAGACCGCCAATGTCCTTAAAGGAGAACCAGAATGATCGCCCATGTTTCTTTGCAGCAGCTGTCTCGGCATCGACCATCTCGAGAATGGTAGCGTAGGCGTTGCACGCAGACGGCACCAGCGTGCCCAGAAGCATGAGGTTCTGAAAGCACTGGATTGGGGGTGGCTTCGTCGGCTCATCAATCAGGGGTTTGGAGCAGGTAGAACATTGAATAACATCGTAAGCGACCTTGGATGCGTTACGAGCAACACGCATAGCCGGTACAACCTCATCGGGAAGGCGAGTAAGAGAGTCCAGCGCAAGATAGAGCGATGATAGACACCCGCAGACCACAGTGGGAACAGAACGCAGCGAGGAAGGTGGTGGTATCGTAGCGTTGTCATCAACGGAGCCAACCGATGTGCCGTGGTCACTTCCAAGTGTGTCAGGCGGTGTAGAGGCATTCGAACTGTCATGTGTCTGCCGGGGACTGAGTTGGTCGGCCATGTATTGCTGCAGTGATGCGTTGAGGTCCTTGGATATGAGGGCCTGCGAAACATCGGGTTCGTCAAAATTGATAGTTCCAAGAAGGTCTACACCACTGAGAGTCAATTGGGGACCCCCAGAGGTCTTTTGGGTTGACGGTGCATCGTGCTGGAGTAACTGGGGATCTGTAGGAAGTGTATCGAGATAGTTGTTGGGCAACAAGTCCCAGAACTCGAGATTTGAAGAGGCAGACTCGTCTAAGAAGCCGAGTCCCTGGTCAAAACCGCCAGAGGACAAGGGTGGATAATCATGAGCTTGGTCCTGGAAGCCGTAGGCAAATGTCAAGCCTGTAGTTCCAGGTCCGGACACATCTTGAGCAGGCGGTAGGGGGGCTTCACTCTCCACATGTCGTCTCTTTCGAGGACGTCCCATTGGCTTTTGGGGGGAGTAGTGACATAGAATCCCCTCCTTCTTGCAACGGGAGCATCCGTCGGGCTCCTTGGAGCAGGCGAGTTTTCGGGAACCTGATGACTGATAAGTCTCCGAGCTGAGCGGCGGCCACTATCCCGGACTTACGGCACTCATCGCATGCCCGATGCTTGGGCACGGAGTCAGCAGTCTGTGCAACTGCAGTAGATGCCATGTTTGGCCAGATGTTGCGCTGGTTCTAGACCAACTCAGAGGGGTTGCTGATATCAATAACACAAGGTGTCGGGCGTCGGGTGCTTTTCTTTGAGCGCCTAGGTGCCTACGCGGCGCATTCTCTCCGAAGGAAAGGAAGGCTGAAAGGGTTATGACTAATGGTTCGAGCTACAGCCTAAAAAGGCCAGGAAGGATTGAGGCGAGATTGTATCCTTGTTCGTCAGCACCTGGGACTCGATTAGAACGATAGCTTGTGAAGGAGAGAGACAAGGTTCCGATCTTCAGGCGACTCAAGCGCCTGACCGCTTCCGGCTGGCGATTAGTTATAATGCCTGGGGTCGCATTGAGGCATCAGCCCTGTGAGGAGTCCGGTCCATGCGGCGGGAGTCCGAGTCCGACCAGCCGAATGAGCGTTGAGATGCTGTAGATCATGGGGCGGGCGGCAATCGACTTGTGTCGTAAGCGCCCCATTGTAGCTTCTCTATTGATAGTTCGCCGTGATGGACGAAAGACATGGCCAGGTAAAGGAATGAATTATTTGGTATGAAAGATGATGATATTCACAAGCTTGGTCGGAATATTCACCTACAACAATATCCTCGTGGCACCTTCCTCCAGATTTGACAAACCGGGCCTGAACAGACAGACGCGGCAAGCACGACCCCGGTCCATGCATACCTAGGTAGGTTATTGCCCAGCGCCCGAGCTGTGGCGCCCTCCAAGACCCTAAGACCACTAAACGTCCACTGAAAAGTTTCTCTTCGTTCTGACGATGCAAGACGCGGCCTCAGCCTACTGGTGCTTCCGCTGACGTTGGACAAAGAAGCAATTCATCCGTTAGTGAGACGGCGTAAGGCAGAAAAGCATGTACAGTTGCTAGACCTGCTGCTAGGCTCGGAAGGCAGGCCCTAGTGACTCGCTCTGTCATCGACCGTGTGACCCTGAGTCCCGTCTCTTGTCCCAGATCTTCACTCTGGCCCAAAAATCCTTCTCCACACCCATCACCATCACCAAATCGGGCCCCGATCAATGACCCTTTCATAGCCTGCTTCTTGATTCGGTTCCCTTGTTTTTCTTTTGAGACGCTCTTGACGAGCATAGTACTCGCTTCTATCCTATCTTGAACGAGGCTTTTATTGTGGCTGTACTACGCGACGTTTGTCCTTTTGCCCGAGTTCGGAGCATAGTTCCAAGAAATCCCCAGCCGTCGACTATCCGCGTCATGAAATAGCTTCAGGCGCAGATCGCACAACTCTAGAAAAGCAGCTCCTTCAGGGCAACGTTGGCTGCCACCAACGTAACCTTGACCCTTGTCGTCAACTTTAACCCCAACCCAACCGCAACCCATATATCCGCAACATGACCCTGTTACCAAATGTTGGGGATCTCGCTCGAATAGAGTATAGGGAGGCCTTTGCTCGCGCAGTTGCTGAGGGTACTCGAAGTCCCCTAGTCCTCCCATACTGTCTCCTCGGGCCTTTCATCCTACCTCCAGTTTATCTTGCTATCCCCCACAGAAACCGGCCATGGCTGTACCGCTCTCGATGGCTCATTGTCGGATTCGTTGTTGCCTTTGACATCAACATAATCCGCACCATGTCAAGCATGAACGTTGCCTGTGCTTACGCTTCTGGGCTAATGGGCATCTGGGGCATCCTCTCAACTCTGAACCTCCTCGTCTGGACTGATCCACAGTCAAACTATGCCAGAGCTGTCAAAGTTACAAAGGACTCGACCAAGATGAACGGAACGGCCAAGAATCATGTCAGGGAAACAAACGGATCCTCCAAGGAAGACGGATTACGACAACGGAAGCTAGGGACTGTCCCCGGCGCCAAAGACGACGGAGAGCACAACAGTCTTAAGGACTCGGGCTGTGTCTGGCAAACCTTTCCCGAAAACGGTTCGTTTGGTGAGAGGCTCAACTGGACCTTTGATCTTGCCACCAACTTTAGAAAGATAGGTAAGTCTTTGCTTTAGAAAACAGTGCATTCATCAAGAACTTCTCTGATACCTCGACAGGTTGGAACTGTTCCATCGCCTCGGTTCCCAGACCCAATATTCCTCACAGTGTCCGTGACGGAGATCCCGTGTCTCTCGAGGGCATGCCTATTGTCTCAAGAAGCGGATACCAGCGCAGCCTCACCCAAGCAGAGTTCGTATGGACGCGAATTCGCAATGTCGCCGTCATGTATGCCTTGCTTGATTTCCTGGCCGTATTTGTGATCAAGGACCCATACTTTATTTATGGCCCTGATCATGGGCTCGAGCTGCCCCCTTTCCTGAGTCACTTTCCACCGTGGCTTCTCCTCTTGTACCGGGAACTCTTCAGCCTCGGTGGTATCTTTGCCCCCATCCAGGCCATGTTCAACCTCCACGACTTGTACCAGTACTTCGCCTTCAGCTCTCTGTTCCCGGCACGTGGTGAGCTCTGGCAATACACCTCCATCTTCGGCTCATTCTCCCAGGTCCTCGATAGGGGTCTAGCTGGCTGGTGGGGTTCGTGGTGGCATCAGACCTTCCGTCTCCAGTTCGTTGCTCCCGCAAAGTATCTGGTTGATCGGGGTTATCTCAGCAAGAAGACAGTGCTCACCCAGGTCATCACCATGTATGTCTCGTTCTTCCAGTCTGGCCTCCTTCACGCCGCCGGGAGCATCTCCTGTATGCGAGACACCAAAATCTGGCGCTCCCCATGCTTCTTTCTCCTTCAACCCCCGGGCATTATCCTGCAGCATGCTGTGAACCATGCCATAGATAGATACTTGCCCGGCACTCCACGACGGCTTCGTCAGGTATTCAACTTGGTGTCCTCTCTGGCCTGGCTATATTTGACTGCTCCATTCTTTACGGACGACATTGCATCTACAGGACTCTGGCTCCTGGAGCCTGTGCCGATTTCTCCGCTGCGGTGGTTAGGGTTTGGTCATCCAAACGACCACTGGTGGAGATGGAACAGAGAAATGTTTCCTTTCTGGCATTCAGACAAGACCTGGTGGAAGAGTGGTTTGCAGATGTGATTTACTAGGAATGTCTCTCAAGGTTAACAGGTCGCATAAAGGTGTTTGGACGTATGCAAAAAGGTTCATAGATGGCTGGGTAGAAACAGATGGGTATTCGGGTATTATAGACTAGGGTTTCTTGCTAGACGGGACAGACCAAGCAAACCCTCTTGGATGGTCCAGTTAAGAATCTCTATGCTTCATCTTATTGCGTTTGGGAACTCGAGCGACTCTCATACTGCTTTCCAGAAGCGAGTCTGTCCACTTCTTTGCGTAGCCAGGCCACAACTGGCTGATATCTACTCTGCTTCGCCGCCAACACCTCTTGAAATGCCAAGCAGGCCACACTGGTTTGGTCAGGAAACATGTACACATTTATTTTCAAGGTCTGGACTACTCACAGTGCAACTTGTGATTTGCGAACGTCACATTTATACTCTGGGTACCGCATTGTCCGAGACTTGCTAGTCAGGAGAAGAAAAGCAACATCAATAACCTTCATGATGGTTCCTAAGGACAGAATCAATAAAAAGATTCACAGCAGGAGGATTAGGACCCTTACGGACTACCAGCTCGCTGCTGGGCTGTTTTGATTTGCCAAGACAGCGGAGGTATGCCCACATCTTCTTGGCTGTCTCTCCAAACGCCCCTTGGAGCGATGTGAGGACAGTTCGTGTTGAGTTGTGGGATGTATCATAGAACATGAGATGAGACTGGATCTTGAAGGCATTGAGCACTTTGCGCTGGAAGTTTTGGCCAGGTGTTCGACCAAAGTCAACTGTAAGTGAGGCAGACACGTCTGTTTAAGCGTAAGCAGTGTCCTTACATGATATCGTAGAGGATCCATAAGGAATTCAGACTTACCAAGATGAGCATCACGCTGTCTGTCCTTGGTAATATCCAGAGTCTGACAGTTGATGGTAGTTCCGCAGTAAGGGAAGCCTGCCTGACCATCAACCTTGCGAACAGGAGCGCCATCATGCGACATGTCAAAGTTGACCAAGGTCTTTGCCGGGTTGACCACGACGCCATAGTCGGGGACACCCTGGTGCATTGTGTCGACAAATCTGACAGCCTTGTCCTGATCCAGCGTCACGAGAAGGAAGTCGTCAATGAGTCGCAAGAGAAGGGTGTCAGGCGAGGCTAAGAAGCCCAGATATTGGGCCTCAAGATCAGCATAGAAGTAGTTACACAGGAACGACGACAGAACAGATCCCTGAGGGATGCCTATCTTCTGCCTGTAATACTTCTTGCCGACCTTGACTAGGTTTTGCTCAACGTGCTGGGTCAAGAGGCGCAGGAGTTCGCCAACGCTGTGAGTTTTTCGCATAGCACTGTCCACAAAAACGGTGTTTTTCTTCTTTCCTGCTAGATCCCTCTCGAGCCGTGCGGTAAAGTTGAAGGGTTCACCCTCGGCCAGGGCTGTTGCGTGCCATCGTCGGATGGCTTTGGATGAGGACTTTTCACCTTCGAGCAGAGCCCGCTCGCCGGGCTTGACCTCGGCGTGCTTCATGATGGTGTACTTGTCCTGGCTTGGTATGGAGCCCATGAGCTTGATAACTGCAGGTTGAGGGATTGTGTCGAAAGCAGCCTTGACATCGATCTTGGCAAAGTACAACTTATCATGATGGGGTCCAAGGGACTCCTTGAAGCGCTTCAGCCGGGTGTAGATGTCGCTCACGGAGAACATGGTGGACCCTAGTTTCGAGGGATTGGTGTCCTAAAGTCTATAGTTAGTCTTAGCTTCAGAGTGATAGTGACCTCACTGACCCTTTCCAGCTTTAGCAACGTATGGACCGGGCCCAATATAGTATTGATGCTAGGTCCCAGGGTTTTCGAAGCCCCTCGGGTCAGAGCCCTTCGCCTGAGGTTCATGATGGGGCGGAGTTTGTCACCCTTGGGCAACAGACGAACTTGGCTGAAGCCAAGCCGCCTTGATTGGAGGGCAGCCAATGCCTCGTCCAATTTGACCTCTTCAAACATATCCGCTTTGAGACTTGCC